GTTGACTTTCCAAGCTGGCCAATACTTCCAAGTCCTTCTTTCACCTGGGACATGACCACAGGGGAGTCCTGTAGTCATGGTTGTAAAACCGCGTCAGGTTATCAAATGACCACTCCCACAGTAAGTGTACAGACTTATTCTTAAATATAAAGGGGTGAGGGGGAGATAAAGGGAGGGAGGTAGTCCCGGGGAAACAATGTATCTGGCTACTCTCTAGTCACTTTGGTTCACTGATGTATCTCAAGTGCCCAGCCCAGTGCTGGATACATAGTAGGCACTGCACAAATATTTTTCAAATAAATCAATAAATTAGAAATATTGAAAATGAAAAACAGAGATAGATTATGCTATGCAAAACTATGCTTTATGAACTATAATCCATCTAAGACAACAAGAAATGCAAAAAGAAGAGCCCTGCATTTGTGTTTGAGAATAACTTTTAATACATCATCCCAACTCCCAGACTCCATCTTTGAAAATATTAAGTGAAGGGGCGCCTGGGTGGCTCAGTCGTTAAGCGTCTGCCTTCGGCTTGGGTCATGATCCCGGAGTCCTGGGATCGAGCCCCGCATCGGGCTCCCTGCTCAGCGGGAGGCCTGCTTCTCCCTCTCCCACTCCCCCTGCTTGTGTTCCCTCTCTCTTTTAAAGATTTTTAAAATCTTTAAAAAAATAAATAAATAAATAAATAATTTTAAAAAAGAAAATATTAAGTGAAAAGGAAGCTATTTTTCTCTGTGTTGTATGTTTTAAGCCCTCAGTATCTAAACACCTTACTGATTAGAGCTTCAAAGTTTGGTAATTAAACAGTTCAGAAATGTTAAAGTAAGTATTTGGCATTTGAGAACTTATGTTGGTGATTCCTTAGATTTACTCCCTAAAGAAACAAAATTCTAAAAACCAATAATATTTATATAGGAGAACCACAGCTTTTCAGGGAACCACAGTTTGTTTTTTATGGTTTATGCTTTATATGGTTAATGCTTACAATTAATTGCACACAAAGAGGAAGTCAAAATGTGCTCACTTAGGTGTCTGCGTGACCAAGGGCCTGAGACAAGGTTACTGGGATGCTGTCTCTAGGGCATGTTGCATCATAATTATCTGCTGAAACCCTATGCTTAGCACATTTCTCACTTCCCTTCCTTTGTCAGGATTTGTTCATATCTCTTTGCAAAATTTTCTCAGAATTAATCTTCTCATTTGTTCCCATAACAAGGTAAAGCTTTTTCTGAAACATGCATCGCTGCATGAGCAATAATACCAGAGGGTAAAGCAAACACAAGCAGCATATAAACTCAGTTGTGCAAAAAATGCAACTTTATTTTTCATATATCAGCTTAATTTCTAATTTGAGCCCTTGTTTCTCCAGGAAGGGGGGAAATGGTCCATTCTATTTGGAGACCAAGGCACCATGGAAAGGATGGGGGATGGAGGACTCAGGCCTTGACATGGATCCCCCTGGGGATTCTCTGAGTCAGCTTCACACCAGACCTTCAATCCTCAGCCAATGGCTCCTTGGGGGTGGGTAGTCTACGTGAACACATCTAAGCCCTGACCGCTGGAAGCCTCCAAGCAGCCACATCCTCCCTGGGGTCCCGCTACTTCCCTGGGTAGCAGAGCAGCATCCCAGGCTGCTTTCACAGACTCAGGCTACTTGGGGTTTCTGTAGCCTCCCCAGAATAGCAGGCTCCAGGCTCCTGGCTGCAAGACCAGCGACATCGCTATTCCCCCCACAACTGTTATGTCATCTTCTCACTCCTGCCCCAGTCTCCTCATCCCCTTGGCCCTTACTCTTCATGCTTCTCCCAAATGTCAGCAGTCCCAAACCAGGAAGGCTCACGTCTTAGAGATTCTAAGCACAAGTGCTAGAGCGGCTCCTCAAGGGAGATGGGGAAAAAGTAAACTCCCAGGAGAACATTAAAATATTGCCTAACATTTCAAAACCTAATCCCCAACCCAAGGTTCACATCTTAAGAATGTTTCTAACATATCCTAGTATCTCTCCAGGCATAACTTTTTTGAGCTTTGCCATCTTGTGGAGTGAATAGGACAGAGAGTTTCAGTCTTATTTTGCAGAACTCGAAATTGAGGCACTAATTCTCCAGTCTCAGCATATTCCACACCAGGCATATTAAAACCGTCAGTGATTTGATGGACAGGAAGAGATGGTTGTTAAATATTTCTGGCTTTTTGGGAACTCCCACTGGACCACACCTAATGAGTTAAACTACCGTATTAATGAGCAAATCAAATATGACAGGACCTGAAAGTCATCACTCACTTGCTTCAAGATAAGCCAAATATATTCAGGTACCAAGTGAATGGTCACAGTCATGGCCAATTACAGAGATGGCAATTCAGTCAGCCGTGCCATCTACAGATTCTAAGGGCACTCAATAGTATAATAAATCTAGGCTCTCAGTCATTTTACTAAATATTTAAAACAGCAGAGTCTAGGTAGTCACCTTGCTTGACAGACTCATACATTAAATATACTGAGTGGAATGTACTTAAATACGCTTATTGAACATAAATCTCAGCTCACTTTTCACACTGCCGATCTCCAGAGCACAAGTGACCCGATGCGGGGCCACTTTGGACATCTGACATTTCCCTGGATTTCAAAACTGATTAGAAGTAGGTCAAAAGGCCAGGGGATAGTACGGAACAAACCAAGCAGGTAGGGTAAATAGGTCAGCTGAGGTGTCAGAATTCAGGCTTTACAAAACAGATCCCAGATTCCCTCTTCTGTTTCAGAAGAGGGAAAACAACATGCAGAGATCTGAAAACCTCTTCAGCCCCTTCCTTACGTGATCTTGAGCAAGCTACGTACCCTTCTCTAAGCCTCGGTTTCCTCATCTGTCAAATGGGAAGAAGATTACAACTTGCCCACAGAGCTGGTGAGCAGATTGAATGAGGGAATGCATACGAAGCACCCAGCCAGAGCCCTCAGGAAATTCTCATTGTGGTTTTGATGAATCCGAAAATGGTATGCCAACACAAGAAGCTCTACCTTAAAACACAGTGACTGTTAACCTATGTTTAACCTATGTTTATCTATGTTTATCTTTGTTGACCTATGTTTATCTTTCTGTGGTGGCTACCAGAATGGGGCTCAGAGACCTCCAACTGCAGGGAGCATAAGTGACCAAGCGCCCCAGATATCCTTGCTGCCCGCGTGCGGAGGCCACGCCTCCAGGCTGTGCTCCCACCGATGACTCAGAGAGCGTGGGGTCACCTCTGACAGTTGCCTGGCTCCAGAACATCCCGCTGGGCTTGCTGGTTCTTCCTAGGACTGCAGGGCAGCCTGGGACGCCCCCTTCCCATTCGTCCCTCCCTCCCTTGCCTCACAGTCTGATGCTCTCCCAGGCTAACTTGGCTCCTTCTCTGTTTTCTCTCCCTCAGGAATTTGCCCTGATAAAAATCTTTGCACGTTTAATCATGTCTTAGCATCTGCTTCTCCGAAGACCTGGACTAACACACTTTCCCGAGGTTCTCTTCTGGCAATGGGCAACTTAGACTTGTCCTGGGAGGTCTGGACAGTATGTTCAGCTCTTCCTAAGCACCGTTTCATCACAGCGCCCACCGGGGAGCAGTAGTTGGGAACCGGGAATAACACAAGTCTTTGTTGGCTAGGCTGGCAATTCTGGCAACAGACTGTTTCTAATAGATTCTTTTTTTTTTTAATAGTATTTTTTTTTAAGATTTTATTTATTTGACAGACACAGCGAGAGCAGGAACACAAGCAGGGGGAGAGGGAGAGGGAGAAGCAGGCTTCCTGCTGAGCAGGGAGCCCGATGCGGGGCTCGATCCCAGGACCCTGAGATCATGACCTGAGCCGAAGGCAGACGCTTTAACAACTGAGCCGCCCAGGTGCCCCTCTAATACATTCTAGTAGATTAATACTCCCCTTTATTGAAGAAGAAAAAGCCTCTGACACCCTAAAATACCACGCGTTTGCCTTGGCCAAGGCTTAAACACACACACACACACCACCACCAAAGCTGAGGTGACCATGCAAAGATCAGTCTGTACTGCAGATTAACACAGACTGCTTTGTTTTCTGTAAACAAGGCAACTGGCTCCGTGAGTTATCCCTTCATTTCCCACACACATGCCTTCTCTTTTCTCCCTACTCCACCCCACCTTCCTTTAAAAAGGTAATGCAAACAAGAGGCCTAACAGGAGAGCTCCCGGCGCCTAATCAGCCCAAAGACCCAACTCAGGACTGGCTGATCCTCAGGCACCGGTCTGGACGTCTGAGCAGTAGGGTGCTTTTGACGGGGCAAACTGCGGATGGGTCGGAGGACTCGAGAAACCCGAATCTCTGAGTCTCTGAAAAATAACTGAAAGCAAGGGAGGCACCTGGGATCTCTTTCCGAGGCCTGGGGTCCCGGGCGGGGCAGTGCCAAGGACGGACGAGGAGGACGGGACAGCGGAAGTAAGAGCGTGCTGCTCCCTTCAGATGCTTATGTTGGAACGCGTTCCAGGTGAGAAGTAACAATAACGACAGAGCAAGCAAACGTCTTCCAAACAAAGTTTGCCCACACGTGCTTCCACACACAGGCAGCCTCCGAGTATCGGAGCATCTCGGTGGGCTGACAGGACAGTGCGGCGCCTGGGATTCGCAGATCCGGAAGCGGGCCGCCGAGCGCCTGCGTGACGGGCCGTCGGTGCCCCCTCGGGCGGCCCGGAAGGGGGCCTCGGGCCCCGCTCCGCCCCAGCCGGCCGCGGCGGGCGCGCAGACTCGGGCCGCCGAGCGCCTGCGTGACGGGCCGTCGGTGCCCCCTCGGGCGGCCCGGAAGGGGGCCTCGGGCCCCGCTCCGCCCCAGCCGGCCGCGGCGGGCGCGCAGACTCGGGCCGCCGGGGGTCCCGCGCGCGCCCCGCCCCCCGCCTCAGCGGCCGCCGAGCCCAGGGCGGGCCAGGCCCTCCCCCCACCCCCCGGCCGGCGAGCTGCAGCCCGGGCGGCGCCGCGCCCAGGGGCGGACCGCCAACTTTGCTCCGACTCAAAAGCAGCGGCGCGCGGGGCGGAGCCGCTCCGCCCCTGCCCTGCCTCCGGCGCCTGGGCCGCTAGTCCAGCTCGCCGCCGCCGCCGCCGCCGCCATGGCCAAGCCGCTGACGGACCAGGAGAAGCGGCGGCAGATCAGCATCCGCGGCATCGTGGGCGTGGAGAACGTGGCCGAGCTCAAGAAGGGCTTCAACCGGCACCTGCACTTCACGCTGATCAAGGACCGCAACGTGGCCACCCCCCGCGACTACTTCTTCGCGCTGGCGCACACGGTGCGCGACCACCTGGTGGGGCGCTGGATCCGCACGCAGCAGCACTACTACGAGAAGTGCCCCAAGGTACCGGCCGGGCGGGAGGTGGTGGCCCTCCGCCCCGCGTCCTTGCCCCCCGCGCTCCCCGCGGGGAAGTGGCCCCGAAGTTCGGGCTGGACGTGTCGGGGCGGGGGTGGGCCGCCCAGGGGACTGCACGGCACCACTCCGCCAACCCCAGCCCCACCCGAGCCGCCGAGCGCTGGGCTCCTGCGGCCGCCTGGGGAGCGGACGCCCGGGCCTCTCTTGTCTGTCCGCTTATTTCACAAACTCTGGAGCAGCTACATCGGCATTTCATAGGAGGTAGTGGGCGCCTCCTGTGTGTATGCCGGGCACAGTTCTAGGCCAGTCGGCCCCGAGCAAAACCGACGAAAGCCCTGCTTGGCTGAGTTTAATGTTTAGGGAAGGGAGACAAACACAGACGCCGTCAAATGGTAGTAAGAGCAGGGACTCGGGGGCGGGGGGTGGAGAGGAGGCAGAAAAGAAGAGTCTAAGGAAGGTGCCTCACTGCCCCTAGATCCTTTGGAGGGGTTGGCCTGGGGGATGCGTGGATGACCCCGGCTTCTCGTGGGGTCTGAGGTGAGGTGGAGAGAGAGGGGCAGAGGCCCCCCACCCCCCCCACAGTCAGAGCTCCGCCCGGTCACTCCCACCAGTTCCGATGAGTAGGGTGTGGAGCTGGGGCACTTCCTTGTTTCCTGCGGGAGGGAGGCCGAGGGCCAGGACAGGCTCTGACTCTAAGACCTACCCCAGAAGCTGCTGAGGAAGGCTGTGCACTGACCACCCCTCTCCACTACGCAGGGGCTGGAACTCAAGGTTCCTTAGGGAGCTTTGGGGCGCACAGAGGGACACTATTTCCACCTGGCCAATCTGGGGAGGTGGGGGTGGGGGGATTTGGAAAGGACCTGGCAGGGAGAAGTATTGCGTTGTGCAGAGCGAGGTGGGTGTGAGTATGTATTGAGAGAGGAAAGTGGAAAAACTGGCTGGGGGCATATTAGAAAAGGTGAAAGATATACCCAGGAGGCAGTGGGAAATGCATATAAACATCTATTAGGAATATTTTTAATATGTAAAAACATGGCGGGGGGAAGACTAGTCCAAACAACCCATGAGCAAAAGAAAGTAAATTCCTGTAGTAAGAAACTGCGGCTGTTACAAAGCTCTCAAATGCTTTTGCACCGCAGAGGCCTAGGCCTCTACCCAAAGGTAGCAACTGCTAAAATATAATCTTAGAAAACACTGGGTGTATACTTAAATTTACTGTATCTTTTTTATTTGCATAGAAGGGACTGCACCTCCCATTAATAATTTAAGTTTTTAAACTGGAGAGTGAGACGATGCGCCATATTTTAGAACGACACACACACACAGGAGAGTGGGACGATGCGCCATATTTTAGAACGACACACACACACACACACACACACACACCCCTCCATAGCCTTTAGCACCTTGTGTGTTTCTCCTCCCGTGGCTTATCTGGTATTTTATTGTTCTCCTGTGCTCTGGCAAGTTTCTCATTGGACACACACACACACACACACACCCCTCCATAGCCTTTAGCACCTTGTGTGTTTCCCCTCCCGTGGCTTATCTGGTATTTTATTGTTCTCCTGTGCTCTGGCAAGTTTCTCATTGGACAGCACTTTCCTACCTGAGTGCTGGTATAAACCAGGTATTCTGATGGTGATAGGATGGGGATACCACAGCGAACAAGATTCATTCCGAGTCTTAATTATTTCCGCTGTGACAGTTGTTCCCCTAAACAGAAGGTCCCTGCCCTCATTAGAACACAGAATGGAGCCAGTAAGTGTGTCCAAGCTCTCCTCCCGTCTCCTCTGCTGTCTGGTAACTGTACAGATGAATCCCAGATTTGGGATTCCTTTTCAGACTCCATTCCTACATGTCTGAGTGCTCAGTGAACATACCTAGATCTCTTCCTATTTCCTCAAACTCATATCATCATCCCTCTGAACCCTGGCTTACCTTCTGTTTGTAATTGTAATGGCATTGCCATCCTGACAGTCACCCAGACACAAAACTTGAGTCTCACCTTTGATTTCCTCCCGTATCCCCCATTCAGCAGCTTGCCAAATTCTGTTGATTCCTGTGGGTTCTCGTGAAATTACCCACTCTTCTGCATTCTCCGTTTTCTGCGCTGGAGGCCCAGGCTGCTGGTGTAGGAAGTAGACCTCTATGTGGTTACCTTGCTCCCCGCAAGTGATAAAGCTGGGAGCGTGCAGCTGAGTATGGCTAGCCATTGTGTTTCATTTGGCCAGCAAGACACCTTTAAGCAGTTAAATTTTCAGTGCCCTCAAGCAGGACACATACATCCCAGTTCTTGGCTCAGGACTCCTCATTGTTTCATGTGACTCCCATTACACATTTATTTTTCTCTGCCTGGCTCCTGAAGCCATTTGGGTATGGAATCCCATCTCATTCTGTGTGTTGTAGTCCAATTAAGCTTCCCAAAGCAACACATCTTGCCCTGTGTTCAGATATCATGGCACCCACTGCCTGTCACAGTCATGCATTTAAGGCCTTCTCAGCCAGGTGAACCTATGCCTCATATCTGTCCTATCTCCCATTACCCTCCTGGGCTCACCTTGCTCTCCCACCAAACTGATCTGCTGTCCCTGTCCAGGTCCATGTCCTGTCCCACTTCTGGGCCTCTGCCCACAATGCACCTGTCACTTGGGATGCCCTCCCCCACCTCCATGTGTCTCCATGCTCAACTCTTGCCTGTCCTGCACCTATCCATAGGTCTTCCCAGAAGTACGGGGCCTCTGATTGACACTGGGACTAAAAATAACATTATTTTTAAATACTGGTTATTGTTATGTCTTCTTTATCTTTATAGGCCTTTTGAAAATGTCCACTTTATGTAAAAGATACATAAAATATCAGTAATAGTAGTGCATGTACATAATTTATAAGATGTGTTGGAGATGTTCAAAAATTTTACTACCAGGAGTATGTTTTAAGTGTTTAGAGACCGCTGACTAAGAGGATGGGGTAGATCGGGCGCCTGGGTGGCTCAGTTGGTTAAGCAACTGCCTTCGGCTCAGGTCATGATCCTGGAGTCCCAGGATCGAGTCCCGCATCGGGCTCCCTGCTCAGTGAGAAGCCTGCTTCTCCCTGTGACCCTCCCCCCTCTCATATACTCTCTCTCATTCTCGCTCTCTCAAATAAATAAATAAATCTTTAAAAAAAAAAAAAAAAAGAGGATGGGGTAGATCAATTTTTCAAGGTCTTGTATATCCCCAAACATGAGGTAAGGTTTCCCCCCAAAAAATTATTTAAGTGAAAATAGGAAATCACCTTAAATTCATGTACTTGTAAAGTCTGTCATGTAATGAGGGGCTTTTTCAATTACTTTATTTTAAGCAACAACATTTTTTTAGGAAGATCTTGAAATGTCCTAAAATGTCTGAAGTCCATGCTAATTTGGAATCATTAGAAGGGAAGCAAAGAGGGGCGGGCAGCTGGGCGGCTCAGTCATTTAAGTGTCCCACTCTTGATTTCTGCTCAGGTTGTGATCTCAGAGTCCTGAGGTCGAGCCCCCCCCCCCTTGATGTGGGGCTCGGTGCTCGGCGGGGAGTCTGCTTGTCCCTCTCCCCATCCCAACCCTCCCCCCCTTGCTGGCTCTCTTTCTACCTCTCTAAAATAAATAAATAAATAAATAAATAAATAAATAAATAAATAAATAAATAAAATCTTTTTTAAAAAAGGAAAACAAATTTAACACATGTAGTCATCTGGGGTGTGAACTCACAATTGCAAGTGTTGCATATATATACTATATTTACAAACAAGCTTTTTATGGATCACTAAAACATAAAAAGCAATATATGGTGGTTTTATTATCGAGATCATGAATACACAGAGAAGAATGGAAAAAACTGCCCTGATGTTATGCAAGTGTGGCTTGTGGCTTTCCTGTATTGCAGTAGCCTTGTATACAAGGGTACATCCATTGAGGGGGAGGGGGGCCATGCACCTCTTTGGCTTGTTTCTGCCTCAGAAAAGATACCTTTTCCCTTTCTCAGACAGAGGCAGCTAATAAGCTGATGAGGGCCCTAATGACAGCATTATAGATATTCAAACACCTTGGATAAAAATAATGAGGATATGCTCTGGAAAACCATGTTATATGACCCACTAAGATATGGATGTTGACAATCCATGGGAACACTTAGAATTCAGTTGTTTCATAAGATGAAAGTGGGAAAAAGTGAAATTTCCAAGTTGACATTTTCATATAATATTTTAAATATATATGTGTAACTAATGAGTTAAATATTATAATAAGCATTTTTGATATTGAGCTATAGTCTTTTTATATTTTGGGTTTGACCAAATACTTTTCTTTTGGGTTCTCACTATTGGATAATGAAGGAATCCCTAAAATTTTTTTTTGTTTTTGCTTTTTATAACATTGACAATTTTTATTGTCCATAGCATTGTAATACTGGATAACATCTTTTTAAAAAATATATATATTTTTTTATGTTAATCACCATATATTACATCAGTTTTTGATGTAGTGTTCCATGATTCATTGTTTGCGTATATCACCCAGTGCTCCATTCAATATGTGCCCTCTTTAATACCCATCACCAGGCTAACCTATCCCCCCACAACCCTCCCCTCTTAAAACCCTCAGTTTGTTTCTCAGAGTCCATAGTCTCTCAGATTTTCCCTTCCTACTATCTTCTTTTTTTTTTTTTTTTTTTAACATATAATGTATTATTTGTTTCAGAGGTACAGGTCTGAAGTGACTTTATATTGATGCATTTATAGATATTTGTTTCATGTTTGGCGGAAAAGAAAAGGGGAAGCATTATGGAAAGTAAGGTATTGTAAAAGGGGATGATGAAGTTACTCACTGATCTTCCTTATTTTTTTTTTAAGTTAGTAAACTTAGCTTGTATTTTGAAAGGTTTTAGGCAACTCTGACCTTGGCACCTTTCATTTTCATCTCAAATAGTATTTACCTGGCTTTATGTCAAAGGCGAACAGTTGCTGAGTTGATAGAGAAATTTCCCATTTCATCAAGAACAAACACCAATAAACCTGAAGTAGTCTTTTGTTATTGCCAGACCACAGCGTTTCTAGAATCATTTTATTCTAAAATAATTAACTGTACTATTACTTGCAGTAATCAGACACACTGGCTATGTTCTGGCCACTGTGTGTGTCTTGAAGGAGTTAATCTTTACATTTTCTAGATGAATTGAGATGATCACAGTCAAACCCACCTGACTAATCATATAAATATGTTAAAATGAGTGATGAGCTATGGCAATCTGACTTCTGTTTGTCCAAACATATGCTTAATTCATGAGGCTCATGAACGAGAAGGAAAACACACACACAAAACATTGAATCTAATTAGTTGGATGAGTTTGCTTTTTTTCTCCCTGGGCATAAAAACTACTTTGCCAAAAAATAGGGTATAAAATGGTTTTTCTCAAAGCCATTTGTCAGTATTGCTTGTATTTATTTAGCCTTTCATCCATCTTTAGGAGTCTCTGTCTTAGTCTCGCCTGTTTGTTTCTTATTGGTGACCTTTTGTGTTTTTATGTTGACAAGGAACACTGGCCTTCCAGCATTAACATGACCTTTCTTTGTTTCAGAGGGTTTATTACCTCTCTTTGGAATTTTACATGGGCCGAACATTACAGAACACCATGATCAACCTTGGCCTGCAAAATGCCTGTGACGAGGCCATTTACCAGGTACGTTGTCTCCGTATTTCTTTCATTCTCTCCCCTTAAATTTCAAGTTCAATTCAGGAACCTTGGGAATGTAGCACCAAAAAAAAAAAAAAAAAAGTGAAAAATTGCTTCTCTAGCTATGGTCATTACAATTAGAAATATAAACTAGTGGAGATCTCTGGTTTAAGAGAGACAAAGTTAGAGAACTGGTTTTGCCTCATGAGAATTTTCTTCTGTAATCAGTTTTTGACAGCATTCCCCAGCAAATTACATGTTAGGAATTAGTATCTAAACAAACCTTTTAAAGGCACCTGAGCCCCTGCTCTCAGAGTCACAAGTTCTACTTTGAACTCCTACCTACTTTTTTTTTTTTTTTAAGAACTTATTTTTAAGTAATCTCTACACCCAACGTGAGGCTCGAACTCACAACCCCTAGATCAAGAGTCACACACTGCACCAACTGAGCCAGCCAAGCCCCCCTCCTCTCTAGTTTTAAAAATGATCCAAGTTTGACTATTATTCATGTGTCAAGGCAACATGCATAAATAATAAGTTTTTGAAATTACATTGACATACTTTATTTACTGCTTAATGAGATGTAAAATACACTTCCTCCTTAAATGAGGAACTCGAGGTCTTAAACTTAATATGCTAATTTGTTTTTACGGAATGGAACGTATTTAACTGTTTCTCCCCTGAGCTTCAGGATCTCCATGCCAAAAAACAAATAGTTCTTAATCCTTTTCATGTGACAGAAAGGGGGCATGTGTATTTGCAAAGATACATTCTAAATGAGAGACCATCCAAACTGCTCCTTTTCCTTGGCATCGGATTGTCCTGTGTGACCAGCTACTGTGGCCAACGGCTGGTTTCCTTCGTGGCGGTTAGGGTTTAGGTATTTTCTATGAAAGAATCATTGCAGCTCCCCTCTGTTTCCCTTTTCTTTGCCTCCCCTGATAGCAGGTGAAAATAATATACCTCCCCTGGCCTGGGGTGGGTGAAGTAACCTATGTCAACCTCCTCAAGGTTTACAGCCTACTTGAGACGTCCATGTTTAGAACTGAAAAAATCCTGAGTGTTAGCATTAGCACTGAAGGGTTTCCAAAGTGGCCTCTTCTTTACTTTACTGTTATTTGTTCACAGCTACTCGATTTACATATTGGTGTGCTATTACCTAAGTTGCTTCACCGTTGTGTTGTTGGCTTGCACAAGGACCCCGGTAAACTCTAGTTACCGGGGAGCACATTTGAAAGCCCCTCCAAAAATAAACAGAGGCGAAGCTATTTCTGAACTCTCAGGAGATTTAGTTGTCAAGACTTGTGTGAAAAAGCCACGTTTGGTGTAAGGGCAGGGAACCCAAGAAGGTGGCTCATGGAAACTGGGGCATCAACTTCAAGCGTGGTTCTAATTTACATATATGTTTGTAAATGTGTAAATTATCTTCCCATTTTAAATAATGTCTAATTTAATGGATTGCCTCACTTTCAGATAAGAATACCGTCCTTTTCACAACAAACCATTGTTAGCCATCCATGGGCTAGATTACTATCAAGTCAACATAGGAGAGGTCATTTAATTTATCTAGCCATCAGTTTTCTCATTGTAAGATGAGCAGCCCAAAGGGATCTCCAGGACCGCACAGCCCTGACATGAGTCCACGCTAGTGCTAACCAGCCTCTAGCTGTGGGAGCCAAACACTCGGGGGCAGAGAGCTGGCTGGCCATCAATTCCATCCATCACCAAGGTCACAGATGTTCATTGACCTCCCGTAGTCTCTTACCCACCTCAGAAAGAAGTAGAGGATTTTTGCCCTCGTCCAGCTAGCCCTCAGGGCTGTTTCCCCGGACTGCAGTCTGGTCCCAGGTCTCATGGGCAGTGACTCAGTAAGTGGTTTTGGGTTAACAGTTATTGACCCTAGTGAGTAAATATGTTGCGGTCATGAAAAGATGAACTTTAGTCTATCCCAGGAAGTCTGACCTCATACTTGTTGATAGTGTTCAAAATCCTTCAGCCCGGTTAGTGTCAGCGTGGTGCTGGACCATTCCTGAGGGTTTACCCCTACAGCACAAAAAATAATAATAATAATAATTTTAAGAAATAGTAATAGCTGACACTTATTGAGAAATATCTGTTCAGGGTAATTCTAAATGCTTTGTTTGTATAAGCTCGTTTAATTCATAACAGCCCTAAATCAGGCAGATACTATTATCCTCATTTTTTTAAATAAGAGAGGAGAAGCATAGAGAGATTTACGTTGCCCAGAGTCCGAGAGCTAAGAAGTAACAGAGCCAGTAATGGCCCTTTGGAGCCCACGCTCCTTCCCACGCTGCTGCTGGGCCATCTCGTATGGTTTGCATCTGCAGTCACCAGCATTTGCAGGGGGCTTCTGCTGTCAGAACACTCTGTGAAGGAGCTGACAGAGGACCCTGGATGCCTGACCGAGGGACTAAGGAAAGGACTGTGCTTCCTGAAATGGCCTGCATTTGTGCCTGCATCCAGTGTTGCTTTCCTTTCATCTCCAGCTTGGACTGGATATGGAAGAGCTGGAAGAAATGGAGGAGGATGCCGGGCTTGGCAATGGGGGTCTTGGCAGGCTGGCCGGTAAGTGACATCATGAGTGTGTTATGTGTTGTCTGGCCAGGTGACGGCTTCTCAGATGCCGTGCGTGACCATGCTTGGGAGAGCCAGACAGGCTCTCCAGGAGGAGTACAAGGTGTGACCTGGCTTACAGATGTCTTTGTCTTTGGGTTTGCACTGTGGTTTGGTCAGTTCTACACAAAGAGCAGAGAAGGGAACTTGAACCAAAGAGACGTTGCTTAAAACCCTGGGAGACATTGCTTAAAAACCCCAAAGTTAACCGGCTCCTTCCTGTGCACTTCAGGGTTTCCAAAGTGGCCCCTTTCCTTCACTGTTGTTTGTCTACAGCTGCTCATTTCACATACTTGTGAGGTGTGACCTGAGTTGTTTCACCATTGTGTTGTTGTCTTGTCTGCTTTCTTATTGACCGGTAGGCATTGATCCACTTATTATATTATTGGTATGATTTGGTTCATTAATATCTTTTTTTGTATGAATACAATTCCAGTGCTTTATCCAGTAAATGATTTTTCCAACAAATGTAAAGGAAAACATTAAAAAGATAATACCAACTTCATTAAATTAAAAATACGCTTCCCTGTGACCAAGCAATTCTACTTCCTGATATTTACCCTAAAGATACACTCAACATGTGCACAAGGAGGCATGTTAAAAAATTATTACAGTACTGTCTGTTAAGGCAAAATATTAGAAATAACCAAATGTCCCTTGATCTGAGAATAGGTAAATAAGTACTGGAACATGTATGCTGCAGAAAAATATGCAGTAAAAGAATAAAAACAATAAAATTGATCTATGTACTTTTATATAGACCTCTAAGGGGGAAGAAAAAAAAGGCAAGTGGCATTAAAAACAACACAGTGTGATACTATTTATGTTTTTTAAAAACTAAATATTTTCTGTAAGTATATGTGTAATTCCATAGGGGAAAAAGTCTGGAATTTGAAATACTAAAGTGCTCCCTCTGATCTTCCCTAGAGAGGAGTGCAGAGCTGGGGGTGCTCACCCTGTCTGTAATGTTGTAATGTTTTTTACAATGAGGATATATTACTTGTGAAAGTTATTTTTTATTTTAATTCCAGTATAATGAACATACAGTGTACTTGTGAAATTTACATTGAATAATAAAAATGTACCACCATGCATGTCTTCATTAGATTGCACTCTATGAAAAATAATCTCTTTCTTCTTTTTCAAAAATGATTCCAATATCTCTTAATTTTACACACACTTTCACGTTACTGGAAATCCGTTTGTGTGTGTTTCATGGTATTTACTCCTTACACTAGTGGCAGTGTGCATTAACATTGCTATCAGTATTAGAGATACTTACTACCTTGTAAAGTCAACCATTGGGCAATTTAGTAGGCTTTCCACGAGGCTGTAAGAAGACCAGCAGAACCAGTGGCATACACATCTAAGAATGACAACCAGCCTGCCTTTCATTTCTGTAAAGCCCCAGGCCTATTTGTTGGCTGGGTTAACCCCACTCTGTGCCTGATATTAATGACCTTGCTCCTTCAGTTGGCTGATAAGTGCAGAGAGTGAAGTGGTGAACGAGGCTGAGTGATTCTCATGAGATGGCCTCATCTCTGCCTGACTGAAAAGGCTGAGACCCCATTCTGGTCAGGCTCTAAGAATAATTTGATCAAGACCCAGGAAAGGACAAATGGCCACAGCTCTGAGAGAGCAGGAACTGGAGCAGTCAGGCCACATGAGCATCGGGACTGGAAGACCACTGTGAGATTCCAGTAACTTGAAGGCATTGGCCATTGGCCTTTGTGGATCCTCTGTTTTAGAGCCCCACTGTGAACCTAACTTAGCCCATTTCTGTTTGGTCTACAAATGTTCTTTTCAGTTTTAGATCCAATTTACATTTCCTCATTCTCTGTATATTTCTCAGTTCAGATTCCTGAGAGGGACAATCAGATTGGTGTAACCCTTCAGATAGCATCTGGTCACAACATAGATCCCTGCCCAGCTTTTTTTAATTTTTTTTTTTAAGATTTTATCTGTTTGAGAGAGAGAGATAATGAGTGAGAGAGAAAGAGAAGGAGCAGAGGGAGGGGCAGAGGGAGAGGGAGAAGCAGACTCCCCACTGATCAGGGAGCCTGATGTGGGGCTCAATCCCAGGACCCTGGGATCATGACCTGAGCCAAAGGCAGATGCACAACCATCTGAGCCACCCACGCACCCCTTCCCAGCCTTTTGATTGGCTGCTCTGGATCAGGGGCTCTGTCATTAATGCTCTTGGCTACAAGTAACAGAAAATCTAGCAAAAATTGGTTCAACCGACAAGGACGTGTGTTATCACTGACTAAACAAGGACTCCAGAATTTCAGCCATTCCAAGATTAGTTTATTCAACAGCATGACTCTGGGTCTGTGTGGTTCTTTGGGCTTTCCTCCCATGGAAAAAAAGATGGCGGGAGCAAGGAAATCTTTCACTGTACCTAGCAGACTTCCTAGTACCTCTCATTAGATCGTAGGTCATTGCGTGCTCATGCCGAAACCAATCACTGGTGAAGGAAATAGAATTACTATGATTGGCTTAGAAGCTTAGACCAAAGCAAGATTTGTTTCCTGGCCCAGCCTCCCTGAAGCATATGGCCCCCTGATATCTGAACAACATTGGAATTCCATTGGCCAGAAAGAGAGTCTGCCACAGGTGTCCAGCTAGTTGGTTAGGTGGTCACATGTAAATGTAAATTATCCTCTCCTGGGGCCATCTTTCAAGCAGGGGGCCATAGAGACAGCTTCCCTGAGAAAGGGCAATGTGAGTGATGGGCACAATAATGGATATATCTAAGGCAGGCCAGCTTCCTTATCTGTTCTCAAATGAAATGCCAACATGTACACAGTGTTACTCCTAGATGGCAAGATAGTAAATGCTGTTTATTTTCTTCTGTGTTCATTTTTGTATTTTCTGACTTTTCTATAATACTCATTTTATAATTTTAAAATGTTATTTTAAAATAATACCCACTGCACAGCTGTCTCTGCTTTAAAATACAAATGTGGTTTTTCAGAGAAAAAATGTTTTGTGGCTGCCATCTTTTTTAAAGAAGGATGAAATTTGGACTAACCTTGATGACTCTGCATTTACTTTAATTTAGCCTGCTTCTTGGATTCCATGGCAACCCTGGGACTTGCAGCCTATGGATATGGCATCCGATACGAATATGGAATCTTCAATCAGAAGATCCGAGATGGATGGCAGGTATGTGAGCCATCTTTCAAAATTTTGTTATTAAAATACTTCTCCTTCATAGTACGCTGGGTGATTTATAATTTACAGACATTTAACATAGAGCTTTTCTAATATCTCTGGCATTTAATTGCCATCACTGAAAACTCTCAGTCTTCCCCCTTTGGGAAGTGAGTTCCCTAAGAGCAGAGAGCCTGCCAGTATCATTCAGCACCAGATCCATAAGCACCTCACATAGTGCCTGACTCATGAGAATACTCTGAAAATATTCACCACTGACCCCTGACTGTGGACTACCTCCAATGTGTGACATCTGTTCTCTGCAGCACGCACAATGGAGGAGCACATCTTTTGACTGATGATCCTCACCTGTAACTCTTGACAGCAGGAAGCATGCTGCTATTTTATAGGCGGGAAAACTGAGACTCTTGAGAAGTGGAGTTACTTCAGATCACACTGCTCGCAAACATGGATCTATATCCCCAGATTTCCAGGCCCATGTTCAGTATTCTTGCCTCCACTCAGTCCTACCCTCCTTAATATCCTTATCTTATAAGACATGTAAATTCCCTGTTCTCATTTTTTTATAAGATGCAAGCAGGCAGTCTTGTAATGATTATGTCAAATAAATCTGGCACATATTTAATATGTATAATTATAGTGTTCCACAGAAATTTGCACAATAGTAATCAGACCACACAAATAACTCTCATGTGATTTTTATATAACCAAACTGGATTCTTAGGTATTCGTTTCTTTTTTTTTTTATTTTTTTTATTATTATGTTATGTTAATCACCATACATTACATCATTAGTTTTTGATGTAGTGTTCCAATTCATTATTTGCATATAACACCCAGTGCTCCATGCAGAACGTGCCCTCTTTAATACCCATCACCAGGCTAACCCTTCCTCCCACCCACCTCCCCTCTAGAACCCTCAGTGTGTTTTTCAGAGTCCATCATCTCTCATGGTTCATCTCCCCCTCCGATTTCCCCCCTTCATTCTTGTCTTTGGTCATTCTTTGAGCCTACAATCAGCCCTAGTGGGGATAGTCTTCCCTGATGCTAAGTGTGATTTAGACTTTCTCTCTCCCTATCTTTTTCCCCTACATACACATCATTGACAAAATGATACTGGATTCGATTTCCAAAAGGGCCACATTCTCTGAGCCCCTCCCACACTTCCATGAGTCAGTCTGAGAGGGCAGAGTGCTCAGGATTGGTTGAGGGGACCTAGACTGGAGCTAATTCCAAGGGAGAGGAAGGATGAGAATAAGTTTAGTGTCAACACCATTCTCCTTCCCCTCCAGTATTTTGACACTCTGAGCCACGGAAGAAGGAACTAAAAGGTTTGATGTGATAAGAGAATGTGCCAAGGAAAAAGTCTCAGAAGGAGAATACTGGGTGCATATTGAAAGACAAACTTCCAATTTTGTTAAGGACCAGTGGATCTTAGGTATCCCTAGATAAATTAGAAGGCAGCATTGTGTAGAAAAAAAACATGTAGGCCCTAATTGAGATCTGATTTCTAATTTGAGGCCTACTTGCAACTCGTTACCCCTATGAGGTGTGTTGTTTTGATTAGGTTACCTGACCTCTCTGAGCCTCAGTTTTCCCATCTGCTCAATGGAGATACCAGCTTCATGAAACCATTGTGAATATATGTAAAATGTCTGGCACACAGATAGGCACTCAGTAAAATGTTAATTTTGCCTAAGAAAAGAGGATAATCTAATAAATAGTGGTATTATTTAATATCGATATAGTTATTAATATATTTTTTATTAATTTTAGTAAAATGGGAACTTGTTTATGTTAGTTGAGAAAAGGAGATTATGGAATCATATGGATGGTGTGACCTATCCAAAAGAAGCCAAAAAGATAAAGTAGTAGGAAAAAAAATACATCAAAGCTTCAAAAGTCATTATCTCTGGGAGATACGATTACAGGTGACTTCTACTATCTTATATTTGCTCTTCCACATGACTCATATTCCATAAGAAATGTGTATGTTATAATCATGGAAGTTATAAAAACAAAATAATGGGTTCCCTTCCTCAATGAAGTAACCTAGAGTTTCACTGTTAGAAACCTAGGTTAGCAGGCATTTCCAGGACGACCAACATTTTGACACCATCTGACCAAGCAATACACGGTATCCATTCCCAGTCTTTGAAAGTATCCTGTGTGGTACTCATTATACCCCCAACTGTTTAAGGGTTTCCTTTCTTATCTCTTTACTGTTCTGTGAAAAATTTAAAAGAAATTCAGCAAATCCATCTCAAAAAATTTTTTTTCAAGTGCATTTTCCCCAGAATTTAATGAAAGTTCACTCTTTTAAAATCATACCTGCTCTCTTTGCTACTGTTCAGCAGCCTTTATTCCAGGAAACCGTCCCTTTCTCTCCTATCAGACCCAGGAAGTATATTTTTCTAGTGGTCGTAAAAAAGAGAAACTACATGACTTTCACTTGTCTCCAAAGCTGACCTCACTGGCCATCATCACTACTCTCACTATGACTTGAAACTGAGTCAGAAAAACTCATCATTTTCTTTACTATATCCATTGTTTACTGGGATGGGATTTTAACATCATACCATTAAAAAAGAAACTATTTCCATAAAAAACAAAGTATCTTCCAGGAAAGCAGCATGCCTCTTGGGGGAAGGGCATGCCCCACACACATCAGATACCTCATTGCTGAAGAAAATGGCACAAGCTGGGAAGATTTTTTTTTTTTTTTTAAGTAGACTCCACACCCAACGTGGGGCTTGAACTCATGACCCCAAGGTCAAGAGTTGCCCTTTTCACCAACTGAGCCAGCCAGGCACCCCCAAGCTGGGAAGATTTTTAAAGGTTAATGGACCTGTAGGTTTTGAAGTCTCTCTTCAAGAAAGATTTACAATAATAAAGTGTTCATTGTAAACCATTGAAAATAATTTTATTGCCAAAATTCTTGATTTAACAAAATTCTTGAACTCTAATGAGATTCGGTGAAACTTTATCAGTAGTAGTGTTCTATGAAAACAATTGGCCCCTGGGAAGAAGGACAGAAAGACAGTTGCGACAGCCCTGCATTAAAGTTTAATAGTCACATGTGTCTCAGAGTTGAATCAAACAGTATCTCCTCGAACGCTTCTCTCTCTTAGAACCTGTGCTAAGCCCGCTGTAATTAGTCATGCACAACTCGCGTTGCCCAGCAAGCTTCTCGTTACCGCTGTTGAATTCGTGGGACTCCCCAGATACGGTTTTCAGTTATTTGTACCATCAGAAGGCAATGTTGGTTTGCTCGCAAGTTTTTTGTGTCCTGTGTATCCCACAGTTGACGGCGAGAACATTTCTTAGAATTCAGTCACTAACAGAGCTCCCTGAGCTAATCTCTGCTCCGTGCTGGCTGGAGGACAGATGCCATTGAGTAATTCCTCTGGGGTGGTCCCCCCTCGCCTGACTGGCACCTGGCTCCTCACTCCACAGACCGACGCTTGCTTTGTCTCAGTTCTCTTTCATCTGGGACATTCAGATCCAGCAGCCCACTTGGACATAAATGAAAGCTCTTCTCCCATCTTGCCTCCACCCTTCACACAGCTCCACATGTTAGTGCCTTCAGGGATGACTGGCTACACGGAAATCTAAATTGACAGACCAGTTTGTTGAGTCATTGGACAAAAGCAAGGTAGAGAAGACGTTTATCACCATCCCGCAGCTTCTGTGGATTTAGTGAGGGTGGTGGGGGCAGTTCTCTTTACTCCTCTGATCTGCTCGGACCGGCTTGTGATGATGAAATGTTTTTCAATTTACCTGAAAATCAAGCTTTGTGAAATTGAGGGAATTATTGTCTGATTCCTTGCCAAATCAGGAAGAGACTCAAAATAAAGAACGGCAAGCTAGGAGTTCTGTCTTCCTACCGAACTTGTTACTCCAGTCAAGTCGAAATCAGCCATTATTTGGCAGGGAAAAATTAGAGCAACATTTAATAGCATTAGGAGTAATCTGCTGACTGGTGCCTTGTCACTTTGCATGTCCTCGAAAGAGCAAATGCAGCCTCTGACTTGCGTAGGTGTGGGCCGATGGTGGCAAGCCCAGAGTTAGCAGAAAAATACATATTTGTCAGCTCTCCTGTACACATGGTTTTTGAGAGGAAAGCTACTTCTGCCTCCATGTCCCATTTCGTGTCATATCTTCAGGTGTGTTTTACAATAGTCCCGAGTGCTGAAATGAGGTGTTTCCTATTACAGGAAGCAATGTTCACAACTGACCAGTATTTAAACCCCCACCTGCCCTTGCCTAAGAGCTGCAGAAAGTGTTTTGTAAGTCAGGATGTTTGGATCCTCTGTGGATATTCTCATTTATTTGTGTGGAGTTTCTAGTTATTAACACAAGCTAGTGGACTCTGACTTCGCTAAAGCTTAACAGCTAATGAAATTCAGCCTTTTCCGTGTTTAGTTTGTATTTTATTTTTTGTTCTCTTTCTGACTAGATTAGCAGAAGTCTAAATTTTGAGTTGCATTTACTGACTTCGTATCACCATGTATAGCCCCTGGGGACATGTTAAAAATGCAGAATTTCAGGGGTGCCTGGGTGGCTCAGTCGTTAAGCGTCTGCCTTCGGCTCAGGTCATGATCCCAGGGTCCTGGGATCGAGCCCCGCATCGGGCTCCCTGCTCCGCGGGAAGCCTCCTTCTCCCTCTCCCAGTCCCCCTGCTTGTGTTCCCTCTCTCACTGTGTGTGTCTCTCTGTCAAATAAATAAATAAAATCTTTAAAAAAAAAGGCAGAATTTCAGACCTCTCCCCAGACTGCCTGAGAATCTGCATTTTAACAAGGTTGGATCAGCTGACTAGCTCAAACTTGGCTCCAGCCTCCGCTAGGCTTTACCCTGCCTCTGATGCATCCTCTTGCCTCCGCATCTCTCTAACTCCTGGATCTACTATTTACAGGTGTTGTTGCTATGAGTCCCCTTTTCATTCACCACTATGCTGGTACTTGGTGTTAATGGGTAGCTCACTGGCTTTCTTGACATAAAGTCATGATCAGTGTTTGAATAAATAAATGCATGTGTATTTCCTTGTCTGTCTGTTGACATCAGTGTTTTGTCTGATATCTCAAAAGACAGTAGCTGTGTTTCCTTGTTTCCACACTATGCCTGGGGCCGGCACTGAATTCATATTTAGGTGGTGGTCATGAAACATCCAGCAGTGTGTCATAATTCATGAACAAATTCTTCTTAAACTAAAGCTAACTTTTCTCAGAGGGGAAGGTGAGAAATCAAATAAGTAAAATAACCAGATTTGGGGTAATTTCTTTGACAAGAGTACTTTGTCCTAAAAGCCCTTACCCCTCCTTTCTTGTCAAAACACAATTGCATTTTTTAATATAGGTGTAATATTTTAAAGCTTTCACTAATAATGTCCTTACTTTAAAAATACATCCCCCCTCTCCAATGTGTTTTTTGTTGGTTTTGTTTTGGCATGTTTGTTTATTGCAAACCAAAATCCATTTGATGTCCAGAATACCCTAAATACAAATTATGATCTTAAAATTTTTATAAGAAATATGTGGTTATAAATTAACGTAAATACCTGGGAAAATATTGAAATTGTCAATAAATAAATTCATTACATCTTAGTGCATATTATTTTCAACATGAACCATAATTAATAGTTCATTATCAGATCAAAATTATTAAAGGGATTAAATTAAACAAAGACTACAAAATGTAATAGTGTCTTGTATCTATACTGACATCAGCTTTATTAAGAGAGCTGTTGAGGCACTTGGGTGGCTCAGTCAGTTGAGCCAGGGTCCTGGGATGGAGCCCCATGTCAGGCTCCCTGCTAAGTGGGAAGCCTACTTCTCCCTCTCCAGCTCCCCCTGCTTGTGCTCTCAGTCTCTCTCTCTCTCTTTTTCTCTCTCTCTGTCAAATAAATGAATAAAATCTTTTTAAAAAGAGAGCTTTCTATGAGTGGTATTTCTTTTTTTTTTTAAACAGATCTCAATTTTATTTTTATTATTTTTTATTTTTTATATATTTTTTAAAGATATTATTTATTTATTTGACAGAGAGACACAGCGAGAGAGGGAACACAAGCAGGGGGAGTGGGAGAGGGAGAAGCAGGCTCCCCGCTGAGCAGGGAGCCCGATGCGGGGCTCGATCCTAGGACCCTGGGACCATGACCTGAGCCGAAGGCAGACGCTTAACGACTGAGCCACCCAGGCGCCCCTATGAGTGGTATTTCTTAACTGGTCTGTGTGTTCTAGGCAAAAGAATCTTGACAGAAACCATCATGTAGGAGCCTTCAGGTCCAGTTACCCAACTATAAACATCCCTGGATGGCCTCTCTCTGTCCCTCAAGCTGGACAATTGTATTCACAGATGTTAAGACACAGACACCCAGAACCCACCCATAGAACCCACACACCTAAGGTCAAAATTCAGCTGTGCCATTTACTATCTATGTGACTTTGAGCAAGTTACAATTTCCTCATCTTTAAAAAGGGAAAAATCATAGTTCCATCCTACAGGGTTATGCTATGAGAATTAAATGCAGTAATATGTATTGACAGGTATGATTGTTGTTGGTTTAGGTTGTAATACTCTAACAAAGGTGAACTAAGTTTGACAGAATCAATAATCTTTCTTACCAAAACAGTATTCTTGCATTGATTTAGTCAAAGATATTTTGATTCGAGGGGCGCCTGGGTGGCTCAGTCGTTAAGTGTCTGCCTTCGGCTCAGGTCGTGATGCCAGGGTCCTGGGATGGAGCCCCGCATCGGGCTCCCTGCTCGGCAGGGGGCCTGCTTCTCCCTCTTCCTCTCCCCCTGCTTGTGTCCCTGCTCTCACTATCTCTCTCTGTCAAATAAAGAAATAAAATCTTAAAAAAAAAAAGATATTTTGATTTGATATAATTTGATTTGAGATAATGGAAGGTCCACATCTCCTGAAAAATAAATTCTCAGCCGTGTCCTTTTCGTAGGTAGAGGAGGCAGATGATTGGCTCAGACATGGAAACCCCTGGGAGAAGGCCCGGCCTGAGTTCATGCTGCCCGTGCACTTCTATGGAAAAGTAGAGCACACCGACACTGGGACCAGATGGACCGACACCCAGGTATTCAGAGTGTCCTCATGCTGAGTACTTTGTATACTATAGCGCAGTGAATACATAGCATAGAGGATGATGTGTATATGACATTGAGGATAGTACATTATGTATTGAATAATAGAGTATGTTTTTATCAATAAATCTGTTCCTTCTCTTAGTGAACCCACTCTTTGGAGACAAGGGAGCTGAGACCAAGAGACAAGTGACTTCCCCAAGGTCAAGTGACTTATCAGTCATTTTGCAATCAGCTTTTTCAGAGATTAATCAGTTCTGTAATTCTAGTGTGCTTTGCTCTCCAGTTTTGTATAAAGTTTTTGATACCAAGATTAAATAAATTTAAATGTCCTTTCTTACTGCACTGCCATAGATACATTTACTTGGGACTTACCAGGGGTAAATGTATTAAAGCTAAAGTATTTATTGAAAGGATTGCCAAAAATTGTATTCGTTGCAAAGTCAAGAAAAATAATACAAAATATTACAAACCATATTTTTATTTTGTGCAAAATCACTTCTAGAGAAATCATGCTGGTGTCAATCCAAGTGGACTTAATTCATGACTAGGTATTTATCCTGCCACTAGATTTGAGCATTACCTTGTTGCTGACCAATTCATTTCTAAGCACCCCCAGTGATGCTTTGTGCTCTGCTGTCTTCTTACTTCCTGATTAATAACCCCTATTAATTACTAGACTGCATTGTCCAATCTTTGGAGGCTCTACTTGAGATATTTGCTTAATAAATATAATCTCAGGCTGGGAAGGATATGTCACCAGCCAGTCTTTAAAAGCTTAAAGGAAATGGTAAAGAGCAAGTTAATACTTTTAGTTGGCAAAATTGTGAGTGAAATTCAGTACTGTAATGCTAAATTCATTTGGTTTGTGGATTATTCCCCATGAATAAATGCTTTATTTTAGAAGAATCAAGACCCATTTTATAGTTGACTTTTTAAACTGATAATTTATTCTGCTAATCCATGTAGAGCTCTTCACAGTTCAGAAAAATACGACTATTTAAAAATGATTTTTCTATCTGAAGATGAATTTATTCAACATAGGAAATAGCAGATTAGAAGCTAAAATAGGTCATGATAGTATAATAGTATAAGGAATAAACTAATACTGTAATTTCAAGATAAGTTTCTCTTTCTGTTTTTCTAAATTTGGTTAAACAATAGAACACGATCTGACTTTTCCTTCAGACACCTGTTCCCTGCTAAGGTTTCTCTCCCAGTGCCTGCACCCAAGACCACACATCTAGTTCTTACTCTCCTGCTTGGCCAGACCCCTATCTGTGCTGCGTTTGTGTGGACACAATTCTCTTACTTGCATTCAGCAGAGTCCCGACCTTCTTCCACCTCTTGGATGAGCTTTTCTGCCAGGGTCTTGTCCTCTGATTCCACACACACTGTCAGCTTCTCGCAGGTACTCTAGGTAGTCGATCTCCCACTGTGCACGTTCGACCCTCAGGGCTAGGTTAGTCCGGTGCTCTTATATTCACTTGTGTAGGTCTGGCATCTTCCCAGCATAGCGGGTATGTTTTTTGAGAACTCTCGGAAGTCTTGAATGTATGCCCTCCTTGCTTGGGTATATTTTTCCAGTCCTTGCTTCAGTCAGAAAATAAATGCTCAAATTATTGCACGTTATTTAAATTAGCCAAGTAATATAAATACCTATCATTCACTGAAGAAGATTTTTAAAATACAAATCATCATAAGGGGGATAATAAAAATCACCTGTAATCCTTTAGTTCAAAGTACCACTGATTTGTTAGTGTATCAGTTTTTAAAATTTTTCCCATGCATTTCATCATACATATATAAATATATATTTTAAAATGTGATTTTACTATACTGTTTTGTAACATTTTCACTTGCTAACACACTGTGAACAATTTCAATACTAATTAATAGATAGCTATATGATAATTTTAATGATACAGAATTCCATTGCATTGATATCCTATTATTTATTCTATTAGACTCTTTTTGATGGACATTTATGGACTTTTCAACAATGCTGAAAAAAAATCTTTGTATTAAAAAAACACAATCTGAGTTGCAGTTGGTTACAAATACAGTTAGGAGAGCTGCAAACAAATCAATCATTAATATGCCCAAAGAATTCACATATGTATTTGGCATTAAACTAGTGAGTATTTGGTGTAGGTTTTAGTGTCTAAAACTTCCAGTGACTTCTGAGCTATTTAAATGTAGGCAGTTTACACAATCAATCCTGGAAATATTCTGTTTACACTAGGTCCAACTGTTGAGCTACCTTGTATTTACAGAGCACCCCTAAACATTTTCATAATATATCCAGAAATTCATTTAGAAACAGTATATTTTTCTGTGCCCACAAAGGCAATGTCACAGGGCAGATGGAATACAAGGTGAGCTGCCCCAAGCCGTGCAGCACTTTATGGATTTCTGGAAGCCATTGCCCAAGTCAGGCCCAGGTCTGTAGCTGGTGAGGTCAGAGAGCATGAGGACAGGCATGGTGTGCACATGCTGTGGGCAACTTCCAATAAACCGAGCAATCCATTTCACCCGTGTGTCAGCTCAGGTCCTCTGGAGAACAGACACCAGAGAGAATTAGAAGTGCAAGTGCCATAGTGGGGCAATGCCTGTGAATGACAGAAGGGAGTGGGGAGAGGAGGAGGCATGGCACCTATGAAGAGAAAGGGGGAAAGAAAGAGGATCCTCAGTAAGAGCCTCAGTGGGCCTTATAACTCAGAGCAAGCAGCCAGGCTGATGGGGCCCGAGGTTAAAGATTGCTCATGAGACAAGTCCTAGCTCTCAAGATCTCACCACAATGGAAGCATCCCTAAGAAAACAAACCTCAGCTCGGCTGGGCTCGATCTCCCAGGTGGTAAGTTGTGCCTGAAGTTCTCTAAAGAGACATCCGAGCTTTGTGCTTCCCCAGCTGCCTCAATTACACTTCAAGGGTCAGAAGGACAAATCATGTTTGAACCCAGACTCACCCCCACTCTGTAAACACCTTTTCCTGATGGATCACAACGTGCTTTAAAAATCTCCAGAGACTTCTATTTTCTAGTAAAGGTATTTAAAGAAGGGTGATTTATTACTTCGAGGTCGTGGTCTTCATGGAAGCGTGACTGAGTATATATGATTGACTGATACAGGCTATAATGCTTCGTTCATTCATAATTCAGCAGACCACATTAAAGAGATTTGTGTAGGTTTCAACCCTACCACTGACTGTGACTGTGGGTAAGTCACTTCTCTCTCAGCCTCATTCCTTTCATGTCCAAAATGAGTGGATTGCACGAAATGATCTCTAGCATCCTCCAGTACAATCAGTCTGTCATTCCCCTTCCTTAGAGCTTGACTGATGAGGCAGGGAATAGAAGTGAGTCTTTTCCCACATAAATTTTAAATTCACATGCAACGCAGTTATCTTCCTGTTCTCTGTTTCAGTGACTGTCACAGACTGAGTTAGATTTTCCAAAGCTCACCTCTTACACCCATCTCAGCTAATTATCAGCTGATTTGTAAGCCCACTAAAATAACTCTTCTTCATGCAACTTTGAAAAATCTTGCATAGCATTTTCAATATCATCCATAATCTATCTTCATATATTTCCATTCCATTAATTTTGATCCGTATTTGAAATCAGAATCACTGAATTACCTACACTAAACTTACGCTGATTATTATTTTGTAATCCCTTGCTGTGTCCCGGCCCACTGTTCAGCCCACGTCACCACACATGGGAAACTGAGCAGCTGCTTCGGTTTAATCCCACAGGTGGTCCTGGCCCTGCCATATGACACCCCAGTGCCTGGGTATATGAATAACACCGTCAACACCATGCGCCTCTGGTCCGCGCGGGCGCCGAATGACTTTAACCTCAGAGACTGTGAGTACAGCCTGGGCTCTCATGAATGTGCGTGTGTGTTTAATCTTTTTGATCTCAGAGGCAACCAGATCAGCACCAGCTCTAAAAGAGGGCACAAAACAAGGATCTTGGGGACTGGGACATGAATGGTTTCTGTGTGTGTCAGTGTGTGTGCATGTAATCTTTCTGATCGCTAGTTAGTATCGCTAGTTGAGAGAAAAGCTTTGAGTTTCTGATCAGAGCTCTCCAGTGAGCAGCCATTGTATGGAGCATGCGCGGAGGACATTTTAAAAGCAGTCCTGCAGTCTGGCCCTCTTAGACTCTCATGCGAATCACAGCATGGAGGGTTGTGGAAATCCTTTTGGATTTTCAGGAGTTGTAGGAATCCCTACATCCACGTGGTACACAGCAAGCATCAGGTGAGGTCAAGGGGCTTCGATAACAGTGGCTGGCTTATCTATTTATTCATTTTTCTAACCTTCCCCTCAGTTAACGTTGGAGACTACATTCAGGCTGTGCTGGACCGAAATCTGGCCGAGAACATCTCCCGGGTCCTCTATCCCAATGATAATGTGAGTGGTCGAGCTTGCTTTCTCAGTGGAAACAGAAGCAGTCTATTTCAGAAGCACTTTTCCATAGCCCATAAAGCACATCTCCAATATTGATTTTTTTTTCTTAAATGCACTATAATCTCCATATCTCTTCCTGAATTGTCTAGATTTCCCCTGCCACCCAAGTAAGGAAAACAAATTTGTACAATACATGAAGTCAGAATTGGTATTTTGCCCTTGACTAGTGACCTCACAACCAATTAGGAGGTTATGTCTGTACATTTCAAAACAAAACCTGGATATAAAAGATGAAGTGAAGCACTGGTAAAATACTACTTCCTTTCCAAATGGAAGTTTCTTCCACAGAGGCAGAAGACCCTGGAGGTTTCCTGCCTGGCCTCTTCCCCTCGCTGACAGGCTCTTCCCAGCCTTCTACGCTCAGGCTCAGTGGGGTCTGGACCTCAGAGCACACCCAGGAGCAAACGCTTGTTTCTTATGCCACTTATTCATCTCTTGAAATTTTTTCTCCTGGGTGATTATTCCCAATTTTACACTAAAAATAGCTTAGCTAAAATTAAAAAAAAAAAAATTTTTAACTTGGAACTGCATCACAGATGACCACTGTGGATTCTTAGTTGGTTTAAATATACTTAGCTCTATCTTATATGTGGGTAAAATTATTTTCTTGAAGCTGTAATGATTACTCTTTTAATAATAAGTCTCAGAAACAACCAGATTGGTACTCGGCTGTTTGCTACAGCATTTTCAGAAACTTAATGGTATATGTGATTTTTTTCCTTTGAGAGAGACATTGTGACTTCAGTACATGTCAGAAAAATCTCTGACCCAAAAGCAAAAAGTCGTTTTGTTTCGTGGTAAGTTAAAGTAAGAATCCCTCCAAGCACTGCCTAGCCAAACCCAGCCTGCAGAATTATTTAACTGGAAAGGGCTTGAAATTAATCCTCCCTATCTTCAGTAAGGACCAAACCTAACTTTACTTGGAAATAGCCATCTACGGCAATTCATAGGGGACACAGAGTTAGCATGGGGTGCAAAGTTAACTAAATTCATTGAGTAAAAGGTAGCTGTCAGGGTCATGCCTGTTTTTAAGTACGAGTTGATAAATCATTTTTGTACTGTAATTACAAAAGCAAACTCATTCACTGTCGCCAACTTGGCCATAGCCCTCCTCCAGACATGAGTCCCTCTTCCAGGAATCTTGCAACTGTCGTCCCTCTGCAGCTAGTTATTTTTTTTCTTTGCTTAAAGCTCTTTAAAGTCTTCTGATCATCTATAAGAAAAGTGCAGAATCTCAGATGTGCTCCTTAAGTTCCTCAGTGGTACGGTCTTGAGTTCTCAGATGCATCCTCCATGATCTTGCCTGCAGGACTGTTTGCTCTAATCTTTCTCACCTTCAAGGGAAGGCTCTTGCAGCTTCCTTCCTGGCAGAATTGATATCCACTGCCTGGGTTCTGAAATTTGGTTGGGAGAAGAAGGCCTAGAGTCTCAACAATTCAGCACATAAACTTTCACTTAAACCCCTTCCCCCCATTTTCAGTACAGAGTGGTACCCCTGCTTTCGACTCTCCATGCCTCTCTCCAGCCCAGAGGCCCCTGTGTTACCATCTCCAGAGAATACACATCGGGCTTCTGCCTGCGTTGGGGAAAGAGATTGCTCAGCTCGGGGGGGCTGGGGGTGAAGTCTGACGCCAGCTACTGCTTAGGCTCATGGCTGACCTTTTACCATATCTTCTCCCCTACTTCCAAGGGCACCAGTGCTGCCAAGTCCTGAGCCTTTAGGGGCTTTGGGGCATAAATTTAATTGCTTTTTGGCTCTTCTCTTCTATTCAGTTTTCCTGGGTCTTCTGGCCCAATTACCACTCACCCATCTATTTTTCAGCTTCAAAAAGGTTGTTGCTATTGTCTTGTCTCCCATTCCCTTTATCCTGTATGCCTTCTTTAAATCCCTTTACACTTCAGGAAGGAGCAAAGCCTGATGCTTGGCCTTCAACCTGCCCTCTTCCTCCAGATGTCCTATGAGCTTCCATCTTAAAGTTCTCTGGGCAGGAGATCTCTGGCATATTTTGGCCACGCCTCACAGTGTGAACCACTCTCACTCCGTCTCTCTGGCTTGAAGTTTTTTGAAGGGAAGGAGCTGAGATTGAAGCAGGAGTACTTTGTGGTGGCTGCTACCTTGCAAGATGTCATCCGACGTTTCAAAGCCTCCAAGTTCGGCTCCACGGATAGTGCCAAAACTGCGTTCGATGCCTTTCCAGACCAGGCAAGTGTTCTGTCTGCGAACACGGACAGAGACAATGAGGGATCAGGACTTCCTATCAGATTTACTCCCCTTTCTCAGTACTAAAAAAGTTGAGTAGGTGCGGTAGGCTTAAAGCGCCTCACCGAGGGTGGGCATTCTGTTCGGTGCTTTGTGCAGACGTACATGAGGGTAAGGAAGCCAGACTGCGGGCCATCCATCACCCGCCCGCTGATGCCTTTTCCCCGTACAGGTTGCCATCCAGCTGAATGACACACACCCCGCACTCGCCATCCCTGAGCTGATGAGGATTTTTGTGGATATTGAAAAACTGCCCTGGTCCAAGGTCTGGATAGTTTGGCTTCCTTTTCCTTTAATTAATAGTATATCTGTGGTTCAGAGATTTTGCCAAAAGCTCCTTTTACAGTTTTTCAAAATAAGTTACTGTTGCTCACTTCCAATGGTTAAAGGTGAAGTCTGCCTGGTGCTAACATTTCTCTGTCCTTACAGCTTTACAGGGAGGAAGACTAATAAGTAAATACATTCCTAATGGGACGCAGCTCAGTAGCTCAGACTTACACTGTGATTGCCATTTTTGTGTCGAAAAGGATTCTAAATTAAATTCTCCAACCTCAGAACACAGCTAATTATGTGTCTCCACCAGTCTGCAAATCAGTATTTTAAACGTACTGTGTACTTTTCTCAGAACATTACTTGTTTGTATTGCTCAGATTTTGCTTTTAATAAACGGCATGTTAGGATAGTAGAGAAGACTTATCAGTATGTTGTCTTCAGTTTTCTCAGACAGTTTTACAAATGGCTGCTTCCCCCCACCACCCCAGAAAAAAACCATATTCCCATTCTCTGGATGATTTGGACCCTGGTGGAATTGAGTGTGTCTAACTGTGTCTGACTATTGCAGACCGGCAGGAGCCGAGGGAATGTTTGGTCTTGTGGGATTGGGTGTGCACCCGCAGGGCAGCCTTCTTGCAGAGGGAAGCAGCTAACTCCTCTCCCCTTCCCTCAGGCCTGGGAGATCACCCAGAAGACCTTTGCATACACCAACCACACGGTGCTCCCAGAGGCTCTGGAGCGCTGGTCCGTAGAGCTGGTGGAAAATTTGCTTCCTCGACATTTGCAAATCATTTATGAGATAAATCAGAAGCATTTAGATGTAAGTCATTTTGAGAGATTCCCACCCCTTTTGAGAATGAGGTCTTGAGATGTTAAGGGTGGCTGCAGTGTTCCCTCCCACCAAACTGGAGGCCCAGACATCTTCCAGTCATAGATACATCAAAAGTATTCAAGACTGGGTGGGGCTCTGTTAAAGACGCTTTTTTGAAAACACTAAAATGGAGGATGGCATCTCCCCAGGGCGGACCCAGCCCCTCTGTGTGGCAGTGAAGTTCCATATTTGCTCCATTAGAGATTTTGCTGGGGAAGTGAATGACATTATCTTAACGCTTAAAACCTGAGTTGCCAGCAAGGCCTTTCTCTTCCCTTGGCTAGAGAATTGCGGCCTTGTTTCCTAAAGATGTCGACCGTCTGAGAAGAATGTCTCTGATTGAAGAGGAAGGAGGCAAAAGGATCAACATGGCCCATCTCTGCATTGTGGGCTCCCATGCTGTGAATGGCGTGGCTAAAATTCACTCTGACATTGTGAAGACCCAAGTGTGAGTCTCCATTCCTGTGGTGGTGGGTCCAACGTTGCTCTGTTAATGCACTGATGCTAGTAAATGCAGGGATGCATTTTGGGATGAAGAAGGGCCCTGTCAAAATGTGCAAAAGTATTTTCTTCTATACAAAGTAACCTTTTCAAAAAGAAAATGCCTTCCTCTCTGAACCATCCTACTTCTAGATGTAGGAGCCAAAAAAAAAAAAAAAAACCTATTCTACTGAAAATCTGGTATATATGTCAGTGCCAGGAAATCATATGGAGGTGACTTGATTTGGAATTTTTCTTATAATTATGTTGAATTGCAAATGGATCTCGATTTAGAATGACAGCAGTAGCGCTGCCAGCCCCCCCCCCACCACCACCACCACCTTTAATCTCTCTAAGCCTACACTTGGCTTCTGGAATGTAACAGGATCCTGCTCTTTCAAATTCAGCGATGTGTCTCTTCCGACTCCAGATTCAAGGACTTCAGTGAGCTAGAACCAGACAAATTTCAGAATAAAACCAATGGGATCACTCCAAGGCGCTGGCTCTTAGTCTGCAACCCAGGGCTGGCAGAGTTAATAGCGGAGGTAAGGGGGAAGTCAGGGGAGGCCTGACTGCAAGGCTAGAGGTGGACGAGTGCCCTTATAATCCGAGAATCCAGTCCAGCCCTCAGCGGGTGACGTGTGCTGTCCCACAAAGCTCCGTGCTTGATTGAATTCTTTGCTCTAGCCTGCTTGAAATTCTTAATTTTTTAAACAAGGGGTCCACAGATTCCATAGCTGGCTGCCAGTACTCCTGTGGCCCACAGATGGAAGATGGTGGCCCTATTTAGTAAGGGAAGGTGATAAAAATAACTAGTAGAACCTGGGTTCTGTGTTAACCCTTGTAGGTAGGTCTCCTGTTTTTAACACTTACTGCCACTGAAACTACAGCTAAGATACCAGCAGAGGGTTCTTCCCAGCCAGCATTTCCAGGCTCTTCTGTGAGGCGCGCTAGTCAGCTGTCCTGATGTAGGCACCCGCCACAGACTGACAGAAACTGCGCAGGTGGGCTGGATTGCCGTCCCTGACTAACATCACCTCTTCTTTAAACTGAAAGAAAATCGGGGAAGACTACGTGAAAAACTTGAGCCAGCTGACGAAGCTGCAGGGCTTCCTGGACGATGACGTCTTCCTCCGAGAAATCGCCAACGTGAAGCAGGTGCGGCTTCCCGGTGTGGACTCCTTCGGCGGCACTAGTTCTGAGGGTTTATGAAGCTCCCCCCCGCCCCCCACCATTTTTAAAAACAGACCAGCTGCTGATGCTTCCGAGTCAAAAGGGCTCCGGCACGGCGCACTGTCTCCACAGGAGAACAAGCTCAAGTTTTCCCAGTTCCTGGAGAAGGAGTACAAAGTGAAGATCAACCCCTCCTCCATGTTCGACGTGCACGTGAAGCGCATCCACGAGTACAAGCGGCAGCTCCTGAACTGCCTGCACGTGGTCACCATGTACAACCGTGAGTCACCGCGCGGCGGCCGCGCCCCTGGAGGCGGGAGCCTCGCCACCCCAGCCCGCACCCGCCCTCCATTCCACCCACTCCTAAATCTTTTTCAGGCATTAAGAAGGACCCCAGGAAGTTATTCGTGCCCAGAACAGTCATAATCGGTGGCAAAGTAAGCTCATTCTATTCACTGGGGATGCGGGGGTCCAGAAATGGCAAGAGTGCCATTTCTCCACTTCATCACGGCTGCCTGCCACCGTGTGTTTGCCGTTCTTCCCCAAGGCTGCCCCAGGATATCACATGGCCAAAATGATCATAAAGCTCATCACCTCAGTGGCAGATGTGGTGAACAATGACCCTGTGGTTGGAAGCAAGTTGAAAGTCATCTTCTTGGAGAACTACAGAGTGTCTCTTGCTGAAAAAGGTAGTATCCTCATCCCAAATCATGCACAGCCAGGGCAAATTCTCCGGAAAGTTTACATGGTAGGGAAAAATGAGGTAGCTAGGTTCTGGGGGGTCAGTAACTTAGAATAGAAAGTGTCACTCTTGGGCAAAATTAGGGCCTAGGCTGAGTCTTGGCGATGATCCAGATGACGATGAGATTGCTGTCCCGGGAGTCAGTATCACCGATTACCTTTGCAAGTGCATTTTCCTGCCAGCTAGCTAGCCAGAGTTGGGTGCTGCAGGAGGTGGCCCTGAAGTTTGGGCAAAGTGCAGACCGGGCTCTACAAAGGAAAGGAAAAGAAAGGGTCTTCCATTCCCAGCTCCAGTTTTGCAACAGAACACCAATTCCCCAGGCCCCGATATTCCTCTGGTCACTTCGTGGAATGAAGAAGGGCTGTCATTTGTTCATGTGGCAACAGGGAATGAGGACAGATGTCAGGCTGCCAAGCATGAGGCTTAGATGTGCTTAGACTGATCACGCATGGAGTTCCCACGTGGGGACAGTTAGACTGGCAAAAAGCCAACATCCCTTTCTCTACTGCTCTCTTTGCTTATTTGCATCATGTGCTTACAAAGCACCGTCCACATGCAGATGCCAACTGTGCATTCACCCCAGTCCCAAATTGAAAACAGACCTTTCTCTTTTTGAGGTATTTTTGGGTCCTCTGATGTTACTCTTTAAGACTGTATGCAGAAAGAGAAGAGCCAGGTTCCTACCGATGCAAATGAAGAGATACCTAATCCACAAATAAGCCTTCAAAGTAAAACAGAGAATTGGTTCTGACCTTTGAAGTCAAAGAGGGAGAAGGAGTGGCAGCACTAATTTGTGTGTAAATTAGGCTGAAAGGTCAGAGGCTTGGTGTCTAGCCCCAGGCACACCTCAGGTGCACCCGGTGCAATTCTCTGCCATATAAGCGGGAGGGAGGGAGGAGGTGGAAAGTGGAAGGAATGCAGAGGATCCAATTTCCTCAGATTATAAAGGAAGAGTCAGGAGAGACTGAATTTTAAAGATCAAGAAAGAGAAGTTTCAATCTATTTTATAAAGTTATCAAGCAAAAGAAATAAAAACAAAACCATAACAAAAATTGGAAGGAAGAGCAGGAAGAAGAGAAATATAGTGTCAGCTTTTATAGCAGAGCGTAACAGGTGCTCTCTGGAGTTTACAGACCAAGGAAGAGTAGTATGAGCATATACTTATTTAGCGCTGTGGCCATCACCACCCAGATAGCACATCAAAAATGGACAAAAGCAGTTGCCTGAGTCAAGGGGAAGAGTGAGATCCATCCTTCCATACCATATGAATGTTTACCTTGATGTACATGGACTACTTTAATGATCAGAACAGGCCCGCTAGATAAATACTCAGATACAATAGGAGATCTAGAGAGACGGAATCACTGATGTTAATGTACCTTCCTTGCAGTCATTCCAGCTACAGATCTGTCGGAGCAGATCTCCACTGCAGGCACTGAAGCCTCAGGGACAGGCAATATGAAATTCATGCTGAATGGGGCCCTGACCATCGGGACCATGGATGGAGCCAATGTGGAAATGGCAGAGGAAGCTGGGGAAGAGAACCTGTTCATCTTTGGCATGAGAGTAGATGATGTGGCCGCTTTGGACAAGAAAGGGTAAGGGAGCAGCTCCTCCTTATTGGGCAGGTGCTCCACCCCACCCCCAGAAGGGTGCCTGCCCACCCAGGTATCCCACTGAGTCGGGGTCATGTGAAATGCGGCCACACAACATCTCCCATGCGCCTGGGCAGCCTCCTCACAGCTTAGTTTTATTAAACCCAGCAAGTGAACGTGAAAGGGACTTGGGCACAGGTGCATGAGGTCCTTGCTATTTGTTATCTGCTGGTGTAGTTGGTTACATTAGTTTCAGGTGTACAATATAGTAATTCAACAATTCAGTACATCACCCGGTGCTCATCATGGCAAGTGCACGCCTTAATCCCCATCACCTGTTTAACCCATTCCCCCACCCTCAACCCATCTCCCCTCTGGTAACTGTAAGTTTGTTCCCTGGAGTTAAGAGTCTAATTTTTTGGCTTTTCTCTTTTTTTCTTCATTTATTTGTTTTGTTTCCTTAAGTTTTATACATAAGTGAAATCATATGGTATTTGTCTTTCTCTGACTCACTTATTTCACTTAGCATTATATTCTCTAGATCCATCCATGTTGCAAAGGGCAAGATTTCATTCTTTTTATGGCTGAGTAATATTCCATTATATGTGTATACCACTTCTTTATCCATTCAGCTATCAGCACTTGGGCTGCTTCCATAATTTGGCTATTGTAAATAATGCTGCAATAAACATAGGGGTGTATGTATCCCTTTGAGTTAGGGTTTTTGTATTCTTGGGTAAATACGCAGTGGTAGAATTATATGGTAGTTCTATTTTCAACTTTTGAGGAACCTCCATACTGTTTTCCATAGTGTCTGCACCAGTTTGCATTCCCTCCAGCAGTGCACGAGGGTTCCTTTTCTCTGCATCCTTGCCAACACTTGTTGTTTCTTACATTTTTTATTTTAGCCATTCTGACAGGTGTGAGGTGATATCTCATTGTGGTTTTAATTTGCATTTCCCTGATGATGAGTGATGTTGAGCATCTTTTCATGTTTCTATCAGCCATCTGGATGTCTTCTTTGGAGAAATGTCTCTTCATGTCTTCTTCCCATATTTAATTGGATTATTTGTCTTTTGGTGTTGAGTTATATAGGTCTTTATATATTTTCAATACTAACTTTCATTTTGCAGGTATCTTCTCCCATCCAGTAGGTTGTTTTTTAGTTTTGTTGATAGTTTCCTTTGCTTTGCAGAAGCTTTTTATTTTGATGTAGTCCCAAAAGTTTATTTTTGTTTTGTTGCTCCTGCCTCAGGAGACATAAACAGAAGAATGTTGCTATGGCACATGTCAGAGAAATGACTGCCTGTGCTCTCTTCTAGGACTTTTATTGTGTCAGGTTCACCTTTAGGTCTTTAATCTATTTTGAGTTTATTTTTGTGTATGGTGTAAGAAAGTGGGCCAGTTTCATTCTTTTGCTTGTAGCTGACCAGTTTTCCCAGTACCATTTGTTGAAGAGATTTTTTTTCCTGTTGACTATTCTTGCATCCTTTGTCTAAGATTAATTGACCAGATAATCGTGATCTATGTGTCCGTTTTGTGCCAGTACCATACTGTTTTTGCTTACTGCAGCTATATAGTATATCTTGAAATGTGATACCTCCAGGTTTTTCTTCTTTTTCAAGATTGCTTTGGCTATTCAGAGTCGTTTCTGGTTTCACACAAATTTTAGGATTATTGTTCTAGTTCTGTGAAAAATGCTGTTGATATTTTGATAGGGATTGCATTAAATGTGTAGGTTGCTTTGGATAGTATGGACATTTTAACAATATTTGTTCTTCAGATCCATATACATGGAATGTCTTTCCATTTCTTCGTGTCATCTTCAATTTCTTTAATCAGTGTTTTATAGTTTTTGGAGTACAGGTCTTTCACCTCCTTGGTTAAGTTTATTCCTAGGTATTTTATTATTTTTGATGCAACTGTAATTGGAATTCTTAATTTCTTGTTCTGCTGCTTCATTATTAGTATAAAATGCAAATTTATATATGTTTATTTTTGTATCCCATGATCTTAAGAGATTTGTCAGTTCTAGTAGTTTTTTGGTGGAGTCTTTAGCGTTTTCTATATGTAGTATGATGTCATCTGGAAATAGTGAGTTTTACTTCTTCCTTACCGATTTGGATGACTTTTATTTTTGTAGTTGTTGTTGTCTGCTTGCTGTGACTAGGACTTCCAGTACTATGTTGAATAAAAAGGGTGAGAGTGGACATTCTTATCTTGTTCCTGACCTTAGGGGAAGATCTCTCAGTTTTTTACCATTGAGTATGATGTAAGCTATTAGTTTTTCATATATGGCTTCCATTATGTAGAGGCATGTTCCCTCTAAACCTACTTTTTTGAGTGTTTTTATCATGAATGGTTGGTGTACTTTGTCAAATGCTTTTTCTACATCTATTGAAGTGACCATCTGGTTCTTATCCTTTCTCTTGTTGATGTGATGTATCACATTGATTGATTTATGAATATTCAGCCACCCTTGCCTCCCAGGAATAAATCCCACTTGATTTCGTGAATGATTTTTTTTAATGTAGTGTTGGACTCGTTTTGCTAATATTTTGTTGAGGATTTTTGCATCTATGTTCATTAGAGATATTGGCCTGTAGTTCTCTTTTTTTTTTGTAGTGTCTTCATCTGGTTTTGGTATCAGGGTAATGCTGGTCTCCTAGAATTAATTTGGAGGCTTTCCTTCCTCTTTTTTAAATGTTTGGCAGAATTTACCTGTGAAGGCATCTGGTCCTGAACTTTTGTTTGTTGGGAGTCTTTTGATTACTCATTGAATTTTATTACTGGTAATTGGTCTGTTCAAACTTTCTATTTCTTTCTGATTCAGTTTTAGGAGTTTCTAGGTTTCTAGGAATTTATCCATTTCTTCTAGGTTGTCCGATTTGTTGCTATATAATTTTTCATAATATTCTCATAATCCTTTGTATTTCTGTGGTGTCTATCGTTACTTCTCTTCTTTCATTCATTTCTGGTTTTGTTTGAGTCGTCTTTTTTTTTTTATGAGTCTGAATAAAGGTTTATCAATTTTGTTGATGTTTTCAAAGAACCAACTCCTGGTTTCATTGATCTGTTCTATTGGGGTTTTTTAGTTTCTATGTTGTTTATTTCTGCTCTAATCTTGATTATGTCCTTCCTTCTACAGGTTTTGGGTCTTGCTTGTGCTTCTTTTTCTAGCTTCTTTAGGTGTAAGGCTAGGTTGTTTATTTGAGATTTTTCTTGCTTCTTGAGATAGGCCTGTATTGATTTAAACTTCCTTCTTAGAACAGCTTTTGCTGCACCCCAAAGATTTTGGACCACTCTCTATTTTCATTTTCATTTGCCTCTATGTATTTTTTTATTTTCTCTTTGATTTCTTGGTTGACCCATTCATTGTTTAGTAGCATGTTATTTAACCTCCATGTATTGGTGCTCTTTCTAGATTTTTTTCTTGTGGTTGATTTCTAGTTTCAAAACATTGTGGTTGGAAAATATTCACGGTATGACTTTAACCTTTTTGAATTTATTGAGACTTATTTTGTGGCCTAACATGTGATCTAGAGAATGTTCCACATGCACTTGAACAAAATGTGTATTCTGCTGTTTTAGGAGGGAATGTTCTGAATATATCTGTTAGATCCATCTGATCCAATGTTTCACACAAAGCCACTATTTCCTTGTTGATTTTCTGTGTGGATGATCTATCGATTGATCTAAGTGGGGGGTTATAGTCCCCTACTATTATTGGATTACTACCGATTACTTCCTTTGTTTGTTAATAGCTGCTTTATGAATTTGGGTGCTCCCATGTTGAGTGTATAAATATTTAGAATTGTTATATCTTCTCTGGATTGTTCCGTTGATTATATAGCCTCTTTGTCTCTTTTTACAGACTTTGTTTTAAAGTCCATTTTGTCCAATATCAGTACTGCCACCTGCCTTTCTTTTTACTTCCATTTGCATGATAAATGCTTTTCCATCTCTTGACTTTCTTTTTTTTTTTTTAAGATTTTATTTCTTTCTTTGAAAAAGAGAGAGAACATGAGCCGGGGGGGTGGGGGGTGGAGAGAGAGAAGCAGGCTCCCCCCTGAGCAGGGAGCTGGACATGGGGCTTGATCCCAGGACCCTGAGACCATGACCTGAGCCCAAGGCAAACACTTAAGTGACTGAACCACCCAGACACCTCTCCATTTCACTTTCAATCTGCATATGTCTTTATGTCCAAAGTATGTCTCTTGTAGGTAGCATATAGATAAGTCTTACTTTTTTATCCATTCCATCACCCTGTGTCTTTTGATTTGAACATTTAGTCCATTTACATTCAAAATAATTATTGATAGGTATGTACATATTGCCATTTTGCTGCTTGTTTTATGGTTGTTTTTATAGTTCTTCTCTGTTCCTTGTTCTCTTCTCTCATGGTTTGCTGGCTTTCTTTAGTGATACATTGGATTCCTTTTTCTTTATTTTTGCATATCTATTACTGGTTTTTGATTCATGGTTATCATTAGGTTTGTATATAACATCTTAAGCATATAGCAGTCTCTATTAGGTTGATGGTCGCTTAAGTTTGAAACCATTCTTTACTCCACCCCCCACCCCACATTTTAGGCATATGATATCATACTTTATTTACATCCTTTCATTTTGTGGATCCCTTGACTGATTTTTTTTTTTTAAGATTTTATTTATTTGAGAGCGAGAGAGAGCATGAGCAGGGGAGAGGGGCAGAGGGAGAGGGAGAAACAGGCTCCCCACTGAGCAGAGAGCCCGACACGGAGCTCAATCCTAGGACCCCAGGATCATGATCTGAGCCAAAGGCAGATGCTTAACCAACTGAGCCACGCAGGTGGCCCCCCTTGACTAATTTTTATAGATATACTTATTTTCACTGCTTTTGCGCTTCCTACTTTTCTTACTCCTACTTATGATCTTTTCTTTCCACTTGAAGAATCCTTTTTAACATTTTTTTTAAGATTTTATTTATTTATTTATTTGAGAGAGAGAGAGAGAGAGAGAGAGAGAGAGAAACAGCATGAGAGAGGAGAGGGTCAGAGGGAGAAGCAGGCTCCCCGCTGAGCTGGGAGCCCGATGGGGGGCTCAATACCAGGACCCTGGGACCATGACCTGAGCTGAAGGCAGATGCTTAATGACTGAGCCACCCAGGCACCCCCTTTTTAACATTTCTTGTGGTCACGAATTTAGTGGTCACGAATTCCTTTAACTTTTGTTTGTCTGGAAAAACTCTCTCTCCTTCTATAATGAATAACAGAGTATTCTTGGCTGCATGTTTTTTCCTTCAGCACTTTGAATATATCATGCCACTCCCTTCTGGCCTGCAAAATCAGTGAAAAATCAGCTCACGGCCTTATGGGGTTTCCCTTGTATATAACTGTTTTCTTTTCTCTTGCTGCATTTAAAATTCTCTCTTTATCACTACTTTTTGCCATTTTAATTCCGTGTGTCTTGCAGTGGACCTCCTTATATTGATTTTGTTGGGGGCTCTCTGTGAATCCTAGATCTGGATTTCTATTTCCTTTACCAGATTTGGGAAGTTTTCAGCTATTATTTCTTCAAAAAAAATTTCTGCCTCCTTTTCTTACTCTTCTCCTTCTGGGATCCCTATAATATGAATGTTATTACACTTGGTGGTGGTGCTGAATTCCCTAAGTCTATTTTCATTTTTTATTACTATATTTTCTCTCTCCTGCTCAACACAATTACTTTACATTACTCCGTCCTCTAGGTAGCTAATCCTGTCTTCTGCTTCTTCTAGTCTATTATTTATTCTATCTAGTGTATTTTTAATTTCATTTATTAAGTTCTTCATCTCTGGTTCATTTTTATGTTTTCTCTCCATTTGTTAAGGATCTCATTGAAGTCCTGCACACTTTTCTCTTAATCACTCTTAAGACCATTACTGTAAAATCTCTATCAGGCATATTACTTATCTGCATTTTATTTAGGGCTCTTGCTGTGATTTTGTCCTGTCCTTTCATTTGGGACATTTCCTCTGTCCCTCATTTTGCCTAACTTTCTGTGTCTGTTTCTATGTGTTGGGAAAGTCGGCTAAGTCTCCCGCTCTTGAAAGTAGTGGCCTCATGAAGAAGAGTCCGGGAGTGCCCTGCAGTGCAGTGTGCCCTGTTCACCAGAACCTCGTGCTTCAGGGCTGTCCTCTATGCATATTGCACACACCCTGCTATTGTAGCTGAGCCCCTTTTTCCTTCAATCCAGTTGTCTGCAGTGGCTCTCTTTGCCTGTTGGAGGCACAGTTTGGTCCTTGTGTTGTTAGTGAGCCAGGCTGGGGCCACCTCGGGCTTGAGCAGAGTCGGACCAGGCATTGGCCAGAGCTGCAGTGACACCAGAGTGGGACTCTGTCCTCCCCTGAGAAGCTTTCATGGGCGGGCAGTGCTTGGAGGCAGACCAGCTGTCTGCGCTCAGCCCGCTGCTGGGGCTGCGGTCTGATTGTTGCGTGTGGTTGTCTTCTCCCCTCCCCAGGGCAGGAGTCACTTCGGAGTGGGGCTGGCCCGTGTGGGGGCTGCTTGCACACAGCTAGGCTCGCGGCCCCACTTCGGATGGGCTCCGGCCAAGAGCGCATTGTAGGGGGCAGGAGCCCAGGAGAACTCGGGGGCAGGGTGGGCAGTGCCAGCGAGGTTTGCCCAGGTCGCTGTGGGAGGGGGCCTGGAGCAGAGGCCTGACTGGCAGGGCAGATCTGCAGAGGAAGCTGGGGGCTGGGCGCACTGTTAGCAAGTCAGGCGGCCAGTGCTCCCACACCACTGTTCCCACAGGGGTCCGGGTGGCTAGGCTGGGGGGCAGGGAAGGGAAATAGTGCCCAGCAGCTCCTCTGTTCCTGGAGAAGTCGCCTGAAGATCCCGATCCCTGTCCCTCTAGCATATGCTCTGAGTTAGTAAACAAATCTCCCTCCAGTGTACCCCAGGTGTTTTTCTATACTGTATCTCGGGCTGCTTGCTGTGCTGTCCCTTTAAGGGCAGGGACTCGGCTTCCTGTAGCTGTCCCCACTCTCCCAGAGCCAAGCCTGCTGATTTTTAAAGTCCCAGGTGGTAAGCCCCACTGATGGTAAAAACTCACAAAATTCAGCCCCTCTGGCTTTCAAAGCCAAATGTTCTGGGGATTCATCTTCCCCATGTGGGCTCCCCAGTGTAAGAGTCTGTTTCTCTACCCTCTTCATGCCCACAGCATCCCTCCCTCCTGAGGACAGTCCCATGGGTCCATTTAACTCCCAACCACGTCTCCGTTCTTCCCACCCTCTTTGATGTGACTTCTTCTCCACATTTAGCTATGGAAAGTTTGTTCTGTCCGTCTTCAGGTTGTTGTCTCGGTTATTTACACCTCTGTGGGTGTTATCTAGCTGTATCTGTGGGACAAGGGGAGCTTAGGGTCCTCCTACTCTGCCATTTTCCCTGGAAGTCACCTGTCTAGTGTAATGTTAATCACACACACTAACGGAACCTTTTTCTTATCACCCCCACTCTCACCCCACAGGTATGAGGCAAAAGAATATTACGAGGCACTTCCAGAGCTGAAGCTGGCCATTGACCAAATTGACAATGGCTTCTTCTCTCCCAAGCAGCCCGACCTCTTCAAAGACTTAGTCAACATGCTATTTTATAACGACAGGTGAGTTCCCACAAGACGATCGTGCTATTTGGGCCATGAAAAGGGGACAAGAACATCTAAACCAACTACAACACATCTGTGTAATTAGCATAGATCTATGATCTGAAAAGCTAACCTACACTTGAAAAATTAGATATTCTCTACTAACTATGCAGGAAGGTTTAAGAATAAGACCCACAGATCTGGGATTCTTTTTCTCTTTCCACTGGTATACCCAAGTTTTCAGATAACATCCATATGCTGACATTCTTACATGTGGGAAGAACCAATATAAAGGTTGAGAGCTGGTTAAAATTCTTGTGAATAGAAATGTAAGTTTGGTAAACCAGCCATGCCTGGTGTTATGCTAAAGAGAATTTGTCAAGGGGGTGGTGCACCTGGGTGGCTCAGTCGGTTAAGCATCCAACTCTTGGTTTTGGTTCAGGTCATGGTCTCAGGGTCATGAAATTAAGCCTCACATCTGGCTCCCCCCTCAGCGTAGAGCCTGCTTGTATTCTCTCCCTTTCCCTCTCCCTTCCCCTCTGCCCCTCCCCCTGCTCATGTGTGTGTGCTCTCTCTCTCTCTCTCTCTCTCCCCCAAATAAATAAATCTTTAAAAAAAAAGCAAAAGATAATTTTAAGTGGAATCTTAGCACACATATTTTAATGAAGATTTTTCTTGTTTTGTTTTTCCCTTCCAATCACAAAAAACAGGTTTAAAGTCTTTGCAGACTATGAAGCCTATGTCAAGTGTCAAGAAAAAGCCAGCCAGCTGTACATGGTGAGTACACTGCCAAGACCTATAAAAGAAACCAGTTTACTATGGTTAATTAAAATTTTTATTTCTTTTTATTAAATCTAAATAACAGGGCCCCATTGATCAATCCAAAAAGAGAAATGAGGCAACTATCTAGGATATTCAGACCTTATCTTCTAATAGAAGCATATCCAGTCCCCCAAAAATGTATAGGCCAGAGTAAATTAAAGTTAATGGCCATTAGCAAGGAGGGGCAGTACTCAAATTAAGCTGAGTGGCTCACTACCTGCCTCCAAGAACTCAAAGTTCAAAGTTCAAAACTCAAAGACAAAAGAAAATGGTCAACGCTAGCTCTTTCCTCTTGATCTCCACTTGTATTTGTGTGTAGAATGGCTAAGAGGAAAAGAAATATAAATAGAGCAGGAAAGGAAAATATGACAAGGGCAAGGACAAATGTGAATGCCAGTTTTGCACAATGGGTCTCTTTTGCTAATGTTATGGCCCAAATCCAAAGATGCCCGTCTCAAAGCCCAGCATTTGGTTCAATCTTTCTTGTTCATTAGTGCTAATTGCAGTTTTTACTCATAACAATTATCGTATTTTTGGGCTTAGAAGCATGTTGGGAAGTCTATTCATTATCCATTTAAATAGTTAAAGAAAGTGAAGAAAAGGAAGCTTTTATTTTCCTCTTATTTAGCAAGTTTTCAACGTCCGAATAAACAAATTTTAGACTCTGTGTTGCAGTACCTTATGGAATAATCATAGTTTTGGCTTTTCTTTTAAGTGTTTATAATGCATTGCTGATGGCTTTGAGTAATGTTCTGGTCTTTTTCTTTTTTTTAAGATTTATTTAATTTTTTGAGTGAGAGAGAGCAGGGGCGGGGGGGTGGGGCAGAGGGAGAGGGGGAAGAGAAACTGAAGCAGACTCCAAGGAGCTGAGCGCAGAGCCAGATGCAGGGCTCGATCTCCCAACCCTGAGATCATGACTGAGCCAAAACCAAGAGTCAGACACTTAACCGACTATGCCATCCAGGTTCTCGTGTTCTGGTCATTTTTAATGAACTTTTAGAGTTCTTTATAAAATCATGAGGGTATAAAATAAATAGCTTCTTACATTATTTTACATAAAAATTATAAAGTTTGTACAGAATATATTTTATTAAGGATAAGGCCTTACTTGATCCTGTTTTGAAACCCCAATAGAGTATTTGGGATTCAGTGTAAATCAACTGGGGCATCTACCTTCAGAAAGAACAAGAAAGGAGAAGTAGGTCAATAAATTGTCCCATTACATTGTTGCCCTGCACAGCAGCTAACATTCTAGAGTAGTGTTTTTCAAACTATGATCTAAGCCACAGGTTAAATCTCTTCACACGGCATCTAGCAGACAATGAACGTTAGTCCCTTGCTTCCCCTCTAATTTAAAGGGCTGTGAAATAAAAAATAAAGCATGGGAAATATGGCTTGCATGCCAAAATATTGTAACCATAGCAACAATTACCAATTAGGGAATTTACATCCATGGTTTCTCTTAAAATGAAAAATACTCTTTTTTTTCGTTCTTAAGAGAAATATACTCTAAACAGGAGAAAAGCATCATCTGCCCTATCTAGCTCTCAGCTGTGAAACAAATGTATTTGATTCACTACAACTTACTCCTGTCATTTTTCCCCTTCAAATGTGCTTGGATATGCTTGGCCTAGCATTTGTCATAAAGCTCGATGGGCACTCAGGCCATGGGCCATATATATGTGTGTTCTTTACAGAATCCAAAGGCCTGGAACACAATGGTACTCAAAAATATAGCTGCTGCAGGGAAATTCTCTAGTGACCGAACAATTAAGGAATATGCCAGGGACATCTGGAACATGGAGCCTTCAGATCTCAAGATTTCCCTATCCAGTGAATCTAGCAATGGGGTGAACAAAGCCAATGGAAAGTAAGTTGTAAAATGTCTCTAGAAAAAAAAATAACTTCTTACTGGATTTAAAAACTTTCACAACATTCTGTGATTTTGTTTTGTTTTGTTAGCTAATAATCTAGTTAAGAATTCCTGGGAATTAGGAGGGAAAGGGTATGACTGTATTAGGGCTAAAAATAAAGTGCCAATTTACAAGGGCTACATGAGTGCCAAAACTTGTTATTTGATGGCCGATTGAGTAGCATGCTAGGACTTTCTCCAGGGCTATTCAAAAAGCTAGAAAATACTGGGAACTTTTTAATGCCATTTAAATTAACTAAACTAAAACACAAATTACTTAACTACATTAGAGTACCTTTCTTATACTGTTAAGTCCCAACCAAAGACCACCTTATTCACAGATATCCCCAGCATGTTTGGTAACCACACATTTTTAGATGGGATCCAAATTTTACCCAATTCTGAGACTCTACAATGAGGTTTCAGTTTGTTCCACAAAGTAGACTATGACAAGCTAAATGACAACTTTCAATAATGCCCAACATCCCTGCTTTCCCTTACTAAAATGGCAAGTGAATTGTAGAAATGTCAGTGACTTCAGCTCATCCCAGCAGCCCAGTACGATTTTACATGAAAAATATGCATCATGGGTGGTGTCTGGACCAAGTCTTCACTGCAGATTTCTGTTACTCTCAGACCTCATGCCCACTGCTCGCTCAGGAAATCTCTGCAAAAAAAAGGACCTAGGTCAGCTCACATGCTTTTTCCACTTCCCAGTCTAAGTAAGCCAGAGCAGCCCTAATTGCCTTTAAGAGAAGGATAATCACATTTAGCAAAGCAACTCTTACCTCACAGTGTTTATTAGTGTAGGGCTTCTACAGAGGAAGTTGTGTTGGAAACCAGGAGGAAAGGTCACCATCTTGACCCTCTCTTTGTTCCTATACGCATTGCGTGCAATTTCATAGAGCTGTGCGGGACAGAAAGACCGAGACTCAAAGGCTGACCATCAAAGGTGGTGTTTTTCTAGTTTAATTTTCCTAAACGGTACACAAACAGTCAACTTGGGGAGTGAGTCCCATTAAGTCAGAGATAAGGGACTCCCCACCACCCATTCCCAACCCCCCCGGTGTTGGCTGCCTCTACAACTAAGGAACTAAAAACTGCACAGCTAACACAGAACGCTGACAGAACCTCATCCTTCTCCTGCCAACACCCTCCCTGCAAGGGATGGATGGACCCACTGTATTTGTCTGAAAGAAAACCAACTGCATCCCATTTTTGGAGCTGCTCTGGGAGCGACTACATGGAGATTCCCCCAGCAGCCTGGGATCTTCTCTATACTTGCAGATCCACACGTACACTTGCCGACGAGGAACCAGGATCCACCACAAACACTCATTCGGGCTACACAGCATAGTACACTGATGCATACTGTGTACACCAGGCAGCATGGCTATTTGGGGACGTAGAGAACCCTTATAACGTCAGAGACCCTCCTGTAGGCTCTAATCTCAAAGTCTGGCTAGACGAGAAATTGGTGATGGAAGTATGGTATGTTTCAGTCAGCACTGAGCTCTTAGTTTACCTTTTTTCCAAACTCCAAAGGCACCGTGCTGTCGTCCTCACCGTGTATGATGAGAAGGGCAGAAGACAGGAATTTAACACTAGGGACAAGTAGAAGAAAAGCATTCAGTTCAAAAATTATATGTTGGGATTTCTCTTCTTCTAAGTTAAAGCTTTAGCAAAACATGAGATTTGCCTCAAAATACAAGATCTCTCTGCCCTTCCTTCCCAGGAATGACAACTTCATATGTAATAAACTTCATATAGTCACTGTTTTCCCTTCCAGGCAAGATTCTCTCTCTTCTGTTTACTCACACAATTTAATTAGGTATTTAATTAATTTATCTCTGTATGATTTTTTTTAAATAATTAAGAAAAAATACTGAATTTGTACAGTTAAAAGAACCTTATCTTTTCCCTTATTCTACCTTATTTCATAATATCTGGGATATTTTAACTAAAAGACTATATAAAAAAAAAACAACTCAAAATTCAAAAATAACAAGAACTACCACAGGACTAAAGAGAACTCTTTGTAGCAATGTATTTACTTTTCCCCATAAATGTATAGATGGACACACGATTAAGAGGTTTAATCAGCTTCCTGGTCAACCTCCTAGCTTGGTAATTCAGAGAGGCTACAGCATGAAGAAGACTTGTTCCTTATTCTAATAACTTTCTCAAACAATACTTCCTAAATTCTGATACCCATCCACCCCGTCACAATGACTCACTGTTGCTCCTGAGAAGGTTAGATCCCTCAAGTGTGTCGACATAAAGTACTGATAACATCCGCCCATTGGAGGAACTCTTAAATTCTCCAGCTGCGAGAGGCTAACTTGCCAAATTCTGATCATTGGACTTGCTGTTGGGTCAATAGGCTGAATGGTGGGTGGGTTTTGGTTACATGGGGAATAAGGCCTAGAAGTCAGGGATCCCCAAGGAGAACATTAGGCTAGACCTTCTCAGAGCACCTTTAAAAGATCCTGTAAACCCTAAGTCTACAACTCCCTTTATGACTTCAGAGAAAGTATTGAATTAGTGAAGTTTTCAAATTAGACATGAGGAAAATATCAAACAATAAAAATTTGTGGACACATTACCTCAAAGTTTGGTACCCATCTAAGAATTCTCATCTACCCGTTCAGCATGTCACATGATAGTTACCCTCCAGAATGGCATAGATAGAGTAATAATGGACATCTTTTCATCATTAGCTTACTTTTCATCATTAGGGAAGACTATTTTGTCTTTTCTCAGGGCATCCATAAGCGCACGTAAAAATGCTGGAAGTTTCCGGTAAATCTATTTTTTAAAAAAGAAAAAAAAAATTAAAACATGGCCTATATCTATGTCATTTGTTATGTTTTCCTACATGAACTATACTAATGTAGAGAGTAGCAACTTTCTACATATAATAAACTTTTTTAAGAACAAATCTCATGATTTTAAAAGTAAGTCATGTCATTGTAGGGAAATTGGAAAATACAAAAAGGAAGAAAGAAAAGGTGGTATATATATACAATGGAATATTACTCAGCCATACACACACACACACACACCACCTCTTCTTCATTCATTCATCAGTTGATGGACATCTGGGCTCTTTCCATATTTTGGCATCAAATTTTTGACTAATCAGAATATTCTGTTCAGTGACTAGACCAGTTAATTATGTTCACTGTAGAAGCAATTTTTAGATTATGCATATCACTGCTCCTTTACACAAGTGTGAAGAAAAAGAGTTTGGTGCTATTTGTATTTTAAAGAAAGATAGGAAGCAAAAACAACAAAATGTTAACAGTGATTATCTCTGGGTGGTGGGGATTATGTGTGATTTATTTCTTCTTTCATCCTTTTTGCACCACCTTGGCCTTTGAGGTCCCACAGAATCTGGCTGTTGCCTGTCTGTCCTCTCACTGAGCCCAGCCCTGTCCACCCTGCTGCCTTCTCCTGGAACACATCAGGCTCAAACCTACTTCGGAGCCCTCGCCTTTCTTTTCTCTCAGCTCAAGACCTCCAGATTTTCCCATGACAGCTTCTTGTCATGCAAGTCTCAGCTCAGATGATAGCTCTTCGAGGAAGCTTTCCCTACCGACCCCCCCAACACCCGACAGTCACTCCCTATCACACACAGCACTTCTCACTCCTGAAAATCAGCTTATCGTGTACTCATCTCCTGCCTGTCTTCCCAGGAAGTATATATACTTCACAGGAAGTCAGGCCACAACTTTTTTATTCCCTGTAGTATTCCTAGAACCTAGGAAAGTTCCCAGTACCTAACAGACACTTGAATAAAGACTTAACTAAAGATGGAATGGATCTCCTGTGCAAATATCCCTGACATACACTATTAGCTATTATCTGTCATGTTCATCTTAGTGTGACTTAAATTTCATTCGGATTTTATTCCTTGGAATAGATTTGCTAAGAGAAAAGACCAGGAAAGTATTATATGTATTCCTCCGTTGTGCCTGAGAGGGGAGTGGGGAGGAAAGTGCTACATAATAAATGGGACATTGCCAAAGGAAGGAATTGGGTACAGCACAGGTAGGCTGGGGCCAGTTTAGAAAGAAAAGAATTCTATTCGTTGTAGAAGCAGTTTTTAGGTTATACGTATCACTGCCCCTTTATGATATGGAGAAATTAGAGTCAGCTGCTACAATACTTCATTTGTTGTAGTCTTCCACTATGAACTGTAGTAATACAGAGAATAGTATCTTTCTAAATAGAATGAACTTAAAAATTTGTTTTCCTGCTTTCAAAAAGTAGTTCATGTCACTGTAGGGAAATTAGCACAGAATAGGGAGGCTGGGTCCAGGAAAGACAAATGTCCGCTTCACAATTTTGGCATAGGCCTACTGTTTCCAGGATGCTTTCATGTTTTCATGGGAGTTTGTCTGGCTTGCATTTTTTGCATGGTCTCATGGCAGATGATTTGCATTCAGGTGCAGTCTGGAGATCCTAATACTGCCTCTCCTGCCCCTTTTCCTTTTTCCTTCTCTTACCCATAACTAAGGGCAAGATTCCTTGTTTTGTTTTCTTTTGTCTTTGTCTCCTGATTCTGCCACCCCTGGAATCAGGGCTCCTCTGAAGAAAATTCAATAAGAGAAGCCCTTCAGCAATTCATCTCAAATTCCAAAGGAGTAAGAAGAAAGCAGGCCCAAGTCAATCTACCCCCATTATTCCTCATCAGCCAGAGGTGCCCCTTGAGACTCAGAGGTCATACCATCCCCTCCAGCCCAGACCACAGCGATGGGCTCCTAATTGGTCTTCCTGCCTCCTCTCTTCTGGAATGCCATCAAATAAGTACTCCTTAAAGACTAGTTATGTGAAATGTACTGTCACAAAGCTTCCATAGTACCACACAAGCTACTTAAAAACAAAGTAAGAAACTCCCATCCTGGCTGCAAGCCCATCCACATCTGGCCACAGTCTTTCATTCCAAAGGCTGCACACCTCCAATCCATCTGCCTAGAGTTAGAAGATGTAGGATTGAGTCCCATTTCCTCTTCTTATAGGGTGTGTGACAATTGGGCAAGCCTCTGAGCCGCCATTCCCCTCAGCTCTAAGTGGAGGCAATGATGCCAAACTCAGAGAGTTGTTACGAGGATTTAAAAGGATGATGAGTGTGCAAGATCTTTCATGGAAGCCTTGTATGACTCTCAGGTATTTTATAGCACATAGTTGCCCCACTCCAGCCATGTGCCTTGGCTCACACTGTGCCTCCTCTCTGTTTCCTAACTGCTCTCCCTTACCTTCAAGAAAGGAGCTTAGATCCTATCTCTGTAAGTCTTCACTGACCATACCTATGCACAAGACCTTTCTCTTCCCTGAATTCTTCCTACCCTGAAATTACTGTTCTGGGTCCTACCCTAGCACTTACCTTAGTCTGCTTAGCAATAGAAAAAGTGGGAAAAGGGAACATGTATTTGTTGAGTCCCCGCTAGCTGCTGGGTACTTTGCAATGATTATCTTAATCTAATCTTTTCAACAACCCTAGGCAGTAGGCAGTATCAACCCCATTATTTAAAAATGGGAAAACTCAGAGAAGGGAAATAGTATTCTAAGATCATAAGTGGTTAGTGGCAGAAGCCAAATTTGAACCCAAATCTGTCTGGCTCCATAGCCCATGCTCTTTTTTCCACTGTGTCATGCTACCTTCCTATTTTGAGTAATGAAATTGATTCCAAAGTGACTTAATGGAAATCCCTGCCATTACTTTATATCCACCATTAATTTCCTATCTCTTCAACTGGACAGGAAGCTTCTTGAGAGTAAGGACCCATGCCTTTCACTATATTTGTATGTCTCACACCACCTACACTTCCTTATTTAACAGGAACGTTCAGGGTTATGGCACTCCACTGGTAATAAAAAGAGTTAATGGCCATTCAGTGCTTACTCTGTCCCAGGCGCTATTATAGATGCTTTTCATATACTAATATATTTAGTTATCACAGTAATCTGGAATAGATTATTTATTACCCCCATTTTATAGATGAGGCGATTAGAGCATTAAAAGCAATTAATCTGAGGTTATACAGCTGATAAGTGACAGCCCTGGAAATCAAACCCAGGAAGTCTGACACCAGAGCTATGGTTCTTAAAGACAGGGTGATAATACAGGACTCCTCTACTTCTAAACCATAAAGGTACCTATTAAACTGAGATTTCATGACATTTTAAATTAAATTCCAAACTTAAAAATACTGGAAGATTCCCCACTTTTAATAATAGAAGAATCATTACAAACCAAACCTTTTGCCCAAGACAACTAGAAAAGCTGGAAAAAATATATATGTGTGTATATATATATATATGTATATATATATATATTTTTTTTTTTTTTGGAAAAAAATATTTTAAAAACCTTTCTATGAAGGTGTCAGAGACTTGCCAAGGCATCTTGAATGGTCTAGATCCCCGAGAGAAAGGAATGTCAGAGAGGTGAAAGTGACATTCGAGGCCACTTTCGCCTTGAGACACAACTTGCAAGTCAGGAGAAAGCAAAAAGTAGAAGCAAAGGAACACAAATAGAAACAGATGACACAAATAGAAAAAAAAAAAGAAAGTAGATTTAAACCTAAATATATCATAATTTCATTAAGTTAAATAGACTACTGCAATTAATAGAGAAAGCTTGTTGGAAACGAAAACAAAACCCTACTATATGCTGCTGACAAGAGATATGCATTAAATACAAGAATTCAGAAAAGTTTAGAGTCAAAGGATAGAAAATTATATATTATGCAAACACTATTCAAAACAAAGATATATTAATATCAGGCACAAAGCTGACTTTAAGTCAAGAAGCATTTTTAATCAAAAGATATTTCATAATGAAAAAAGGATCAATTTACATGGAAGATATAAAATTACATTATTATTCAATGTATGCTTTACACATGTATAACATATGCTCAAAAAAGCTAAAGCAAAAATTGACAGAACTAGGATAGAAATAAACAACTCCACAATCATGGCAAGGTATTTTAATACTCGTCCCTGCGTAACTGATAAAACAACCAGTCAAAAAATCAGTGCAAATATAGAAGAATTGAACAGCATGATTAACAATCTTTACCTAATTGATATATATAAGAACACTGCACCAAAAACAGAACATATTCATTCCAACATATGCCAAAATTGACCATATGTTGGGACATAAAGCAAGTCTGAACAAATTTAAAAAACTGAAATCATACAGAGAGAAATCTCAGATCATGGTAGAATTAAGCTAGAAGTCAATAGCAAACATAAATCCCCAAATGTATAGAAATTACAAAATACAATTTTAAATAACCCATAGGTCGAAGAAGTCATAATATTATAAAATATTTTGAACTAAATGATCATTAAAATGCATTTGAAAACTTGTGTGATCCATCTGAAGAGTGGCTTCTGTAGAGTATGCCTTTGTGCATAAATTAGAAAAGAGGAAATACTGAAAATAAATTACCCAAGTACCATCTCTAGAAATTTTTTAAATAATAAGTTGAATCTAAAGCAAATAGAAGAAAGGGAATAATAAAGGTAAGAACAGATAATAAAACAGAAAGCATTCAATATAGATAATCAACAAAGTCTGAGTTGGTTCTCTGAAGAGACTAATAAAATTAATTCTTGCTGTAAATGTTGGCTGTCCCCCTTCTCCTTAGCTTTGGACAACAGAAGCCATTGCCGTCAAAGTTATGTCACCCTCCCTCAAACTATTCTCTAACCCTGCAGATGGCAGAAACAACCACCACCCCCCTACAGTTGACTCAAAGCTTAGTCCCATGTGGATTAGGCCAAAGCTACACTTCACCAGAAGTCACATCTTGTTCTGCTCTTTCCCCATCCCTATCCTACAACCCTCCTTCAAATGACCTTGCAGGTTTTGCCTTTAGAGCACTCTCTCAGTAAATCACGCACATCAAGTCCTTGCCATGGGCTCTGCTTATAGGAGAACCTGACCTAGGGGCGCCTGGGTGGCTCAGTCGTTAGGCGTCTGCCTTCGGCTCGGGTCGTGGTCCCAGGGTCCTGGGATCGAGCCCCGCATCGGGCTCCCTGCTCGGCGGGAAGCCTGCTTCTCCCTCTCCCACTCCCCCTGCTTGTGTTCCCTCTCTCGCTGTGCCTCTCTCTCTGTCAAATAAATAAATAAAATCTTTAAAAAAAAAAAAAAGAGGGAACCTGACCTAAAACTAAAATTAAGAAAACCTTAATCAATCAATCAAAATAAACTTATAAATACCATGTTCATAAATTGGAAGATTCAATATTAAAAAGGTATCAATTTCCCCAAATTATACATAGACCTAATGCAATTCCAATCAAAATCCTGGGAAATTTTTTATAGAAATTGATGAGTATATACCAAAATATACATCAAAATACAAAAGATCAAGAATAGTCAAGACAAATCTTGAATAAGAAGAACAAAGCTGAAGAACTTACACAGACAGATATAAAAACATTATAAAGCTACAGTAATTAGGGGCGCCTGGGTGGCTCAGTCGGTTGAGCATCTGACTCTTGATTTCAGCTCAGGTTGTGATCTCTGGGTAGTGAGATGGAACCCCGCTTTGGGCTGCACACTAAGTGTGGAGCCTACTTGGGATTCTCTCTCTCTCTCTCTCTGGCTCCCTCTCCCTCTGCCCCTCCCTCCATTCAGCCTCAATGTCTCTTTTAAAAAAAAAAGCTATAGTAATTAGGAGATGCAGTATTCATATGAGAATGGACAGATAGATAAGGGAACGAAATGGGAATCTACTAACAGACCCATATACATTAAGCCCTGATATATTCAAATAGCACTGCAGAATTGGTAGGGAAGGTTTGTTTAGTAAATGGTACTAGACCAAAACTGCATATCCATATGGACTTCTACTTCCTACATACAAAAATCCATACCTGTAGGTTATAGCTCTAAATGTAAAAGATAAAACAATTTCTATAAGATAGCATAGAAGGGTATCTTCATAATCTTTGGTACCCAGAGTTTTATTAAACAGGACACTTTTCTTAAAAATATTAACCATGAAAAAATAATTGATAAACTGGCCCACATTAAATCTAGGACTATTTCTTCATCATAAGATATCATTAAGGGAGTAAAAGGCAAAATGAGAGAATATACTTGCAATACAAACAGTTTTCCAATGACTCATCCTATGAAAAACTACAAATAAAAAAGACAAAAGCATGAACAAGTATCTCACAAGAGATATCTAAATGACTAATAAACATGAAAAAAATGCCCAGCTTCATTAGTCATAAGGGAAATACAAATTGAAACCACAATGAGATCCATACGAGGGTAAGGATGTGAAGCAATTGGAACTCTCATACACAATAGGTGGGAGAGTAAAATGGTTAAATCACTTTGGAAAACTGTTAGGCACTCTAATCACTAAAGCTAAACATATGCATATCTTACTATGCAGCAGTTCCATTCCTAGGGTACACTCACTCCGGTGAAATATGTACCATGTTTGCAGGATACATGTTCAAGAGCATTCATAACAGCAGTGTTATTAATTACCCCAAATGGAAAGCAACTCAAATGTCCATAAACAATAGGTCAATAAATTGTTGTATATTTATACAATGAAATACTATATAGCAATGAAAATGATCAAACTACAACTATACCTCTTGTGTAAAATCCCACAAATACATGTTGGTTGAAAAACATAGAATATATCCTATATAATTCTACTAATTATATAAAGTTCAAAAACAAAATTATATTGCTTAGAGATGCACACATAGATGGTAACACTATAAAGGAAAGCATGGATATGATTACCATAAAACTCAGTCTAAGGATTACATCTAAGGTGAGGCTTATTGAATTGGGAAGTGACATGCAGGAGACTTCTAGGGGGCTAGTGATGCTAATTTCTGGACTTAAATGTTAGTTACATGGATGTGCAGTTCATAATTATTAAGTCATATATTTTCCTATTATGTTAAATTTCAAAATTAGAACAAAAGTACATGGATTGTACCTGATTTATTCCTACAAGTTAGTGAATTTATTAGTAATTAGAGTAATACAATAGATGCTCAATTAGTGGCTATCTTAAAATGAATACTTAATTGTCTAAAACCAATTGAAAGTGTTTCATTATCTCAAATTACTCAGCACTCAGTATTTTCTATTGTTGAGGGGATTTCTGTACTGAGATGGAGTTTATAGTATGGCATTATTCTAGATTATGTGGTTCTGTGAATTAGCTGTCCTGGGAAGTGATGAGCTACCTTCTCCTGAAATAGTTAAGCAAATTCAGAAAGTTTTGTGATGATTTGTTATTTAAAAAAAAAAAGATTCTCAAAGTAGGCAGTTGTATTAAAGTACCCTTAAAATACCTTCTAACGTTAATCAACAATTTAAAATTTTGGGTCGTGTATCCCCTCTGAGAATCCTATCTCTTTCTCTGGTTCACTGGCTAACATTTATATGATGGTATGTCTATAAGCAGTTGAGCATTAGGCATGGGATGAAATTATGATAATCTACACAACAGATAAAAAAAACTAGATCTTGTTGCCCAATTCTTTAAACTTTATCTTCTTGGAAAGATTGTGTTCTCTACTTGGGATACTGTGTAAAACCCTTTGGCAGCTTCCTTGAATTCTCTAAAGCCTTTTTTTTATCATAAAATAATGATAAATATATGGCTTATAATCATAGGGTTAAAAAGGATGTATGAGAGGCATGTTTTCACTTTAAAAGGGAAAAATAATAAACTAAATCAAGTCTATTTTTAAAAGTACATGATAAAAGTTACAGTTAAAGGAAGAGGGGGGAAAAAAGCTCTGGCTCTTAATAAGCCACTATCTCAACCTATTAGAAGAAATAAAAGAACTACAAAATCCAAAAGCCATCGTGCCCTTCTTCAATAGCAACTGGCTAATGACCTGTCTCAGGTTAGAATAACTTAGAAACATACAATACTGGTTAAGAAAAGGAAAACGGTTAATAAGCATAAGTGTGTGGAAACAGCCTACACTTTCACATCTTATGAAGATGATTCAGAGACTCACCTTTAACAAGGGATAATTAATACTTGCAACCCATATGTTGGTAAATGGAGACTCCAGGATAATAGCGTCAACTGGGAATCCTTGAAAATAATAAAAAAGAAATAACTCGGCTATCATATTTAAATACTACCTTTCCTAAATAAGGAGTCCTCAAGGTCCTGTACATGAACTACCTGAACCAAAGTTATTTGTGAAGCTTTTTAATAATGCAAATTCCTGGACTCCACACTAGACTTGAATCAGTCAGAATCTCAGGGGCGGGGGGGAGTGCATTTTTTTTTTTTTAAGATTTTATTTATTTATTTGAGAGAGAGAGAGCACATGAGAGAGGGGAGGGTCAGAGGGAGAAGCAGACCCCCTGCTGAGCAAGGAGCCCGATATGGGACTCGATCCCGGGACTCCAGGATCATGACCTGAGCCGAAGGCAGTTGCTTAACCAACTGAGCCACCCAGGCGCCCGGGGGAGTGCATTTTTAATGGGCACCCCCACCCCAAGAGATTTCTATGCACATGATTGGAAATAGATCAACAAAGATCTAGATATTGGCATTATTCTATATGGACTTTAAAATAACTTGTAAATAATCAATTGTACTATAGTAAAATACTTGTTAAAATTTTAATATTTAATAAAATTTGATATTATGTAGTGAACTGTGTAATATGTCAAAAGAAAATATTTAAACTAAAGCACAAGGAGAAAAATGTCTGGAAAACTCAGGAAACAACATTGGAGACATACAGGACATGGGAACAGACCTAAAAAAAATACATATAATTATAGTCCTGGGGGAGAGAAGATGAAAAATGGGGTAGGCACAATATTTGAAGATAAATGACCAATTTTCCAAGATGCATGAATATCAAGCTAGAGTTATTATGGTACTATGAACCCCAAGCAGGATAACTACTAAGAAAGCCACACCTAGGAAAATCACAGTAAAAATGCTGAAAAACAAAGACAAAAAGAAAATCTCAAAAATAGCCAGAAGAAAAAGTAATTATCTTCAAAGGAGCAGCAGGACGACTGGAAGCTGACTTCCCAATGGAACAGTGAAAGCCAGAACAAAATGAACAACGTCTTCAAAGTGTTGAAAGAAAATAACTACCAACCAAGAATTCTATGCCCAATGAAAATATCCTTCAAAAATGAAGGTAAAATAAAGATATTTTCAGGCCAAAACTGAGGGAATTCTTCACCACAGATAGGCAGAACAAATATCCCAAATGGAAGCACAGAAATGCAAGAAGTAATAAAAAGCAAAGAAAAGGGTAAATCTAGATATTGACTTTATAATACAAGAGCAATAATGTTTTATGGAGTATATAATATAGAGAAAATTAAAATACATGATAGCAAGAGTTCAAAGTCAGGGATGTAAATGGAATTAAAGTGTCCTAAGGTCAATGCATTATCCAAGAAGTGAAGTACTCATTTATGTGGGAATTTAGGTCAAATAATACTTGTCAACACTGTGCAGAAAGTGTGCAGAGAGAGCTGTGAGAGCTTAGAGGAGCAAGAAATAATGTCTGCTTTATTTCCATAATTAATTAAGACTGTGGATAGCATGTGACTTGCTTTAACATGTTCACATAACTCACCCTGACCAGTATTGACAAGCTTAAGATACAACTCAAGAGATGACAAGCTTTTCATGTACATCGCTATCACCTTGTCCTATTCACAGAGATGCTAATTCATGAAAACAGCTAGGATCCAGGAAACCTGTGTTTATAACAAGCACCTCTAGGGAACCTGAGACAGGCAACGCTCAGAACACTTTGGGAAACACGGACATAAATGTCATGGAAGACGGGCGGCTGAAAGCAAGTCCTGCTTGTTACTTCATAAAGGATGTTTTCCTCTGCCATAATCCAAATTACTCCGCAGGAACATTTACTTCACGAGAAGGGCTTTTTCAAGGGGAATTTTAACTCTTCCTGAGTATTTATTGTTAACTTCGTGGCCTTGAAAGGCAACTGTTGTTTTATATTAAATAGAAAAAAGAAAGTTTATTACACGATCAGAGGCTGTCTGAGGTCAGGGGGCCTTAGGTCTCTCTGTGTTCAGAGTGTGATCAACGGTCCGCAGGCTCTCTTTACTTCCCCACCGCGAGCCAAGACATGCCACACGGAGGCATTTTACAGTACCTTTCTCTTCTAGTGCTTTTGCAGCATTTGTTGCAACTCTGTAAAGCAATGAAAATTAGTACATATGTAAAGCAGGGACTTAACAGGTAAACAGTACAAAATGCAACATCTGATAGGAGCATCTAATGAAAGCGCTGGGGCCCTCTGGTAGGACCAGAAGTACAACTTTGCATAGGACTTCAAGGGGTTCCACTGGCCCCAAATCAAGAATCCTTTCCTTTAATACTCTCAAGGAGTATTGGAATGGGCTTCAGTGTCCTAGATAACCACAGAGCTACACCCTCACCCTCCCTTGCATTACGACCGGCTCGCTGAGATGGCACCGGCTCTAACCACGTGTGGGATGTGAGGGAAACCAGAGCTCCGCCTCCTAGCTCAGTGTTCCCTCCTCCGCGCATCACTGCCTCTGATGACACTAAAGCCCCAAGCGCTACCCTCCCCCAAGAAGCCATCTTCAGACTCCACTTACCCTGTACCCAGAGAGTGGCCCCAGAGACACACAGGCGTGGTGCCACTTCTCGCCTTGGTCCACTCATAGACACAAACAGCATCTGTGGTCAGCCCCTCCTCCGTGGGCTCACCCGTGGAGTCCCCGTACCCTGGTGGTAAGGAAAGGCGGGCACAGCATCACTATCTCCAAAATGAGGGCCATCAAGAGCCCTCCTGCTTACTGAAAAGTCTTTACCTACTGCTCTTAACATACCTCTGTAGTCCACAGACAGAACATGAAAGCCACCATCGCTCAGCACCTAGATGACAAAGGAGAGGTTATCTTCTTAATTGTAAACCGAAAAGGTGGTGTAACCTCCTCAACACTTGCATAATCCTCATTGTGATGGTTTCCTACGCAGGGAATAGATGGAATCTGCTGTTTGACCTCAAACACGAGAAGGTCAGACTCAAGGGGAAAGAAGGGAGGCAGGAGGCAGAGCAGGTCAGAGAGCCTGGCCACACCCGGGCTCTGCCCCTGGCTGTGTGACCTTGAGCCTCCCAACATCTGACTATGTAAACAGGATTCTGAAAAGTGAAAAACAATAGTAGCACCTTCAGGACTGTTGGAAGGTGACATGAGATGAAAGTACTGAAGTACCTTGGTACAAAGTCAATGTCCATTTTAAGAATTCCCTTGAGAACAGAAGGTCTACACAGAGTTGTAGTAGAGGTAGTCAAATAATGGGAAGATATTTATACTAAATGTGGACAATAAAGAGTTAATATCAATCAAAAAGAGATCACTCAATTATATGAAACCACTGCCACGCCCCATGTGGATAAATAAGGAAGGAATACGACAGCATCATTTCAAACCAAGTGAATTACAATGACAGACGAAGAGAGAAAAGGGGACAAAAATGCACTGTGCAGATACCTTTAAAACTTTATTTAATCCTCACAATAGTCCCTAAAGGTAGGTATTATCCCCGTTTTATAGATAAAGAAATTGAGTCCTGAGGGTTTAAGTAACTCATTCGTGGTCACCCAGATAGCTAGAGGGAGAACCAAGACTCACCCGTGGGTCTGTTCCTGTCTGAACACCGCACTCCCCCTGCCACAGCACGGACGTGGGGAGCTGAGTCTCACCAGAAATCTTTCGATACAAATTCAACTAATACTGAGGAACTAAAGGAAACTTTTTAATATCTATTTAAACGACACTGCCTCCAAAACAGTGATCCAGGACACAGAGTAGTTAAGCACCCCGGGAGGTGGGAATGTCTGTGCGTCGTTTGTGGTGCTGTGGACAGAAGGACCACTTGGTGAAACAACCCGAGAACAGATCTGACTCCTAAGAATTTATCTCTAGGGAAAAAGTCCAAAAAAAGAATAAACTCAATGCTTCAGGTTTTCTCTAGCAACATTATTGAAATTATTTTGGGGGTGGGGGGACTTGTATCTAGCAACAGTGGAATAGTTAAACAATTGTCTACAAATATAATGGAGAAGGATCACCTTTTAAATCTGTAACTATGGTAACTACGGAAAACCATGGAAGAATGTTTACAACATAGTATGTACATAACATAGCATTAAGTAAAAGAACAACAACATAAAATTACATATAGATATAATCATAATCACATAAAAACTTAAATAAAGACGACAAGGTGGGATTGCAAATTAATGAAAACAGCTGTATTGGACGACTGAAGTGATGAATAAATGGAATGAACGAGAAACAGAGAGGATGTGGAGGAAGAAAGGAAAGAAGAAGGGGAGGAAGGACAACGTAATAGCAAAGACTTAGTTTTTAAGGGAAATCACCCCTCCAAAGAAGAGAACAAAGGCCTGAGGAAGTCCGGTCAGGCTGGGAGATGATGACTATGGCACGACGTATCCAGAATCTGCCTGGAGGAAGAAGCCTTATCATACCTGCCCTTCCCATGCCAACTACCACAAGGATGACCTGGCTCCTTTTCACACCTACACCTATGATTCTTTTCCTTTCTGTGCACACAGGGGCTATAATTCAGCTTTGCCGAGGGTGGGAGAGGAAAAAAACAAAACAAAAACGCATGTTCTCATGGACATCAGCCTCACCACCATCCCACGTAGGAAGTGCAGAGAGTGAGGTGCAGGGTGGAAAGCAAACCTAAAAATTAATAGACATTATCATCCCAGGCAGAACAGCATCCAGCCCACCACCCACCAGAGTCGGCTCCGAGAAGGCCGTGAGGAAAGGGAGGAGCCGACTGGAGAGGGGCTTCCTGTCTGAACAAGGGAGGGAGGACGAAGGAGGTGCTGGCCCTCCTGGGCCTGGCAGGGTGCGGGGCCCCACTCAGGCTGTTACACCAGGGAAGGGCTCTGAGGTGGGAGCTGGTCTGTGGGAGGCGACAGCAGGTCCTGTGGTCAAAAATTGGACAAGCAGCCTGGTCACCTGAGGGAGAGATTACCAAGCTGGGGTGTGGGAGAAGACAGACAGCTGCCCTACCAGCTGTGAGTCAGCCGCGGCTGCATCTCCCGTCCACGCAGGGGCCGCCCCAACAAACTGCAGTCCTGTAGCAGGCTGGCGAGAGGGGAGTGTGGCCGCCATCCCACACGCAAAACCTTCTGTGGGGCTGAAGCCAGAGCCTGAAGGACTCTAACAGCAGGCGTTCTACGTATTTATCCTCTACCACAAGAAAAGGCTGTTTCTCACGGGAGTGACCTTCACATTTAATATACCCTCACAGCCTTTCCCCCCCAGCCCTCAGAAAAAGCGGATAAAGAGGGTCTTGAGCTCCACCTGGTGATGAAGGCGATGTATTTATGAAAATGTTTTGGGAGTCAGGCATGTTCGCTTCTGTTTTGAAGCCCTGTGGTCACTGCAGGAAGAGAAATCCACGTGTGAGACTTCGAGTCCCAGACGCCAAACCCACCCTTGGGAGCTCTCAGTAGATACCCATGCTGAGGGCTGAGGAAGATCTAGGGCTATAGCCCAGAAGAGAAAAAACAGAGACATAAAACTGGTACCTTGAGGCCCCTTCAGACATACCTTTACTAGCTCAAGTCTGTGAGGAGCTGCCCTGTGGAAGAGGTTAAAACAAAGAGCAAGAATTAGGAATGACAATGACAAATTCAATAAAAATCACTATCATGCTTCTAGCATCTGATCTCATGGCTTTGTTTTTCAGGTCAGAGAAATAAATAACTGGGAGAAAGGGAAATGGTTTTTGGTGTCATAGCCCGCTTGGATGTGTCAGGGGGAGTGCTGGATGGCTCCCCACTGCTCTTGCATTCCTCTGCATGAGCCCTGGATGCCCAGATGGTTAGTGCTTCTCAACAGAGGCATGTGATGAATTACTGATAATCCACCTCCTCTCACTGCTACACAGCAAAACTAATTTCTAAGAATACTTTTAGAAGCTAAAGGAAAATCAGCTCCAGAAAGTGGTTTTTCAGAACAAAGGATGATACAGTCATGTTCACTAAACCAAGACCTGCCTGTACCTGGTTCACTGTGCCATTAACTACAAGATGAAGTGAGGGAGACTCACAGCACTGGAGGTACAAGAAAGGCTTTTTCCCAAAATAACCATATCATCTACTCTCTATTAACCATGCTAATAAAGGAGAGACAAGGATGATTGAAAAGGCAGAGGATTCTTTTGAAAACCATTTGAATTTTGTCTTAGAGCCAAGTGTCTTAAGCTTTAGTGGGTCATGAAGCCCTTCGAACATATGATGAAAGCTATGGACCCATTTCCCAGATAAATGTATCCACACTTGACATTTTTAGTACAATTTTGGGAGGAGGTTCATGGACCCTCTGGGGTTTCTCTGGCTCCCAAGTCTGGAAGCATTGTCCTCAACAAGGCTCCTGTAACCTCCCATTTGGCCTCCTTTTGGCTCAATACTGCTGATAGCCAGCTAAGAGTTTTGGCAGGGGACAGGAGGAAGCTGGGGCTGACCCCAGAGCCAGTAAATCTGGGGTCATAGCAGATTCACAAAGGGGGACAGACATGAATGGGTGGGCCGAATGATCCTTTAAATACATACACTGTAACACCATGCCCAAGTTTGCACAATCAGAACAATGTTCAACAATGTTGAAAAAGGTTGAATTTCATGGGGAATCTCCATCATTGTCACTCTAAAATGGACACCTTCAGAAAGCCCCTAGTGCAAAGGCAAGCCTTGAGAAAGTCATCAACACAGAAAAAGACAGTGAGAAAAAGAGACATAGGCAAGGGAGCCAAGGGGCAGATTCCAGAGCTCGTCACTTAGTTTGCAACGTCCCTCCAGACACAGAGCTGGATCCGTGGGTCCCTGAGGCACAGCGCCCCTTCCCCAGCCCAAAACGCTGCAGTCTCAGCTGATGATCATCACCCACCCTAACGACAGGCCTGCTGGGAAGCCCTGGCAGCACATCAAAGGGGCTCAGGACTTCAGGGAGGCATTCTTTGTGGCAAAGCACGGTTGGACAACAGAGAGTGGGCTGAGGCATCCGGTTTCTAGAGTAGAATCACTCAGATGGTCCCCAGTAAGGACGGTCAGACTTCCAGATGATCTCTCATAGGGAGTCCATACATTTGATTAGTAGGACTCATGCTAAATCAAGGAATCCCCACGTACTTCTGTGAGAGGACCACCGATAAGGAAATTGCTCTTCCTTCTCCCCATATCTCAGGCCTGTCCCCTTTCCCGTCATCCATGGGCTCAGTTCAGCATTTCAGGCACTCTTTGGGAGTAAAGGAACCACTGACTTCTTGGAAATCAATAACCAAATTTTGGAAGTTAGTCTCCCTTTCAGTTAAAGATCGACATGAGTCTACATACAGAATATATAGATTTTTTTTTAAGAGAAGCCTATTGCCGGAACACCCTCAAATTTCAACAAAGGAAAAAAATATATATGTGAAGGCACACTTACAGAGTCGAAAACTCTGGAAAGCTCTGCCTTTCCTTCCCCCGCCCCCGCCCCCCACCCCAGGCTGAAAGGCTCCCTCTCTTTTTAAACAACAACAAAAAAATCCAAGCGAAGGCACTGACCTGTGTTCTGCGCTGCCGTGAAGATAAACAATAATTGGGTTGCCGTCATGAAGGGCTGCTTCATACCAGCCATGGTCCTTCTCCTTAGCATCTTCCCCCCGGCAGCTGGGAACCGTGTGCCTGAAGAGCAAGGAAACATTTTAACAAACGTACAGAGAGAATTCACTTTCCTTGCCAAAGTCTGAAACCCTCCTCAGGTCAAAGATGTATATTTATAGGTTTATATATGTATAAATATCCATTACATATTTATATGTATGTGTGTATATGTGTGTGTATATATATATATATAAATTTCTATCTGAGTAATATATGCACATGGTAAAAATTAAAGTATAATACCACAAACATCTTACAGTGACAAGCACTACTTCTCTACCCCCCTCCCCCATGCACAGAAACAATCCCTTTTAACCACTGACTGTTCTAGTCCTTCTGACTCCTACATCCACTAATCTTCCAGGACTGCAATTCTTAGGTGCAGTCCATTGAAATGCAGTCCGTTGGATGGAAACAAGTAAAAGGCAATAGGTATTTGCCACCTGCTATTGGTTTAGCTGAAGAAACAAATTGAAAGAATTTAAAGAGAGAGCAGTTTAGATGGGAGAAAAGAACTTAAATATGAAACTAAGCTATTCTACTCAAGAAACCAGTGACCTTGTGGAGTTAAACACCTGCCCAAGCTCCAGTCCCTCCACCTGTTAAACCAGTGAGTGAGCCCTGAAGATACAAACACTTCCATATGACATGTCACAAGGAGACTTGGAGAACTGGCCACGTAATAATAAATCTTCAGGCTTCTCAACGCTTTAGGGGCAGAAAGTCTGACATCAAAGCCCAGGGCCTCTGGACTGAGAGGACTGGCATCCTTGCCAGCTAGATAAGCCAGGGCAAGAGCAACGAATAAAAAGATTTTCAAATTCCAACACTGTTAGCTGAATTGTACTGTGCAGATTAGGAAGAAGTTATGTGAACTCATATTGGTTCCTAAACATTCTATGATCACATATTTAAAGTCAGGGAGAGGAAATATAAAACAGGACACTGGGAAATTGGCAGCCAAGAACAAGAAGTAGAACCAAACAGAAAAAAATGTTGACAGTAGCATAGCAAAAAAGACAATAGCTCACGATTTTGACAATTGACTGTCTTTTCTGTGCTGTACCAAGCACTGTGCTAAGCAATGAAAACCCACTAACGAACGAAAGAAAGGAAGGAAGGAAGCAAGAAAGGAAAGGAAAGAAAAGAAAAAAAAGGGGACGCCTGGGTGGCTCAGTCAGTTAAGCATCTGCCTCTGGCTCAGGTCATGATCTCTGGGTCCTGGGATCGAGTCCCATATCGGGCTCCCTGCTCAGCGAGGAGTCTGCTTCTCCTTCTGCCCCTCCCCCCCTCGTGTTCTCTCTCTCTCTCTCTCTCTCTCTCTCTCACTCTCTCTCTCTCTCAAATGAATGGATAAAATCTTTAAAAAAAATTTTTTTAAAGAATGCCCACCAACAAAGTCACCTACAAAAGTTATAGTCTTATAGAGAAGACAAACATTAACCAAATAATCGCACAAACATTGATTTAACTACAGTGGGGGAAATGCCATAAAGGACAAGCACAGGTTGCCACCTGTGCCTCAAATGGGAGCTGAGGAAGGGCTTCTCTGAAAATTACCGCGGTACCATTGGCAACTGAGACCCTAAAGACGAGCAGGCAGGTAGTTAGGCGAGAGGAAGGGGCAGAGACCAAGACCTACAAGTGTTGCAGACAGAGCCTGTCCTGCGAGAGCGTGACTTGCGGTGCCAGGAGGCTGGCCGTTCTGCAATAGTGCAGGAAGGCTGGTGTGCAACACGGCAGAAGAGTCCCAGTGTCCATCAGTGCACTCACCAGATTCCCAGAATCACCCCAGGTTCAACTCTGATATACAAGTTCACCGTGTGAGGGATCTTTAACTCCGGTTTCTTTAAATCCACAAGAAATGGTGCTTTGACTAGAAAGTAGAATTAATTATCAATGCCCAGAGTCAAATTCCATGTCTTTTAATCACAATCAAAAAAAGTAATTAGTCTCCTGGTTAACATGGTTTCTAAGTTGCAAGCTTCCACACTAAATTCCCAGCGAAGTATTTTATTTTATAAACAAGGACCAGCCCACAGGAAAGTTGCCAAAACAAAAACCCCTAAAGCTAGATTTTAAAATAGCACTGGTGTGACAGGTCATCATAGGGTTTTGTTCAGTCCTTATCCTTGTCTCAAGCTAAAAACAAAGGAGACCACTACCATAAAAAGGTAAGAGGGTCTAGAAGAAAGTAATGAGTATTCTGCTACCTACGTCAAGCATTACTTTTTCCACTAAATAAAACCTAGTAATTAGCCATAAACCATGAAGTGGTCAGAATCAACAAACCCCTGGGGACAAGCCAGTGAGAGCATGACCTGTGTGCTAGGACTGTGTGTTACATTGACTAACAGCACTCAGTAGAAAAAGCGTGGGAGAACAGATCCCTCACATCAGCCTCTCCCCAACCCCAGCTCCCCATTTTCTCTCTTTCAAGGGATATAGGTAAAAAGAAAAAGCAAAAGAGTAGAGAATACACCAAGCAATAAGCTACCCCTATTAACAGCTAATTCAAAGACTGAGCTCCTGAACTGAAACCCCACCCACAAGGCCATGTTTTTCTCTCCATCCCCCCAACAGTCTTTAGGGATTCGCACTAGACCGCAAAGCCTCTGTTAAATGGGTTTCAGACCATTGAAGTCTAGCCACAATTTTATAGCCGACGTGCCTTTTTCATTGTCACATGGGCAGCTTTAAGGGCAGTGAGTTCTTTCTTTGGGAAAATATATATTGGCAAATTCATGATAGATATATACTTACAAAAATTTAAAAATATTAGCATATTCATCAGAGGAGGAAAAATGTGTTCTTTTAATGGTTTACTAGTAAAGCTGTTGTACAGAGAGGCAATTTTTCTTCCGAGTGTTGAACAGGAATGTGGAAAAGATCTGCAAGATATAATGAAACAAGCAAGGCATTCAAAATCACTCCAAGTTTTGTCATTTGTTTTTTCTCTTAGCATCCAAATAAAATTTCAGAGACTAACACAGGGAATTACAGGTAACTTGGCATTTAAGCAAAATGCTTTCCAGAATTGTATGCCATTAGCACAGATCAGGACTGGGCACTAAGGGAGAAGAGGAGAGGAAAGCAATAAATCAGGCCCCCAACTAGCTGCTGAGAAAGCCCTGGTATGGCAGAACAGGAGTTGGGGGGACATGAATGCACCGGAGTCAAGCCTGTTTCCTCAAGTGCATCCCCACAGAAGACCAAGGCTGGACCCCAAAGTCATCAGGAAACAGGATTCAGACTATTTAACACTTGTCATGGTTTTTTTTTTTTATCACATCACAATTTAGTGCTGTATGTTTTAACTATTATTGGTCTAAAGCAGTGAATGAAAAACCATCAGATCCCCACTCTTCTGGCTGGGTGTTAGGAAGAAATGAGCCAATGAAAGAAAAATCCCCACTTCTGACGTGACATCCCTGGTAAGAGGGACTATGAGGAGCAGGGTGGGGAGCGAGGGGAGTACCTGGAGGTTGTTGCTATATCAGGGCTGGGGCCTGGTCAGGGACACAGCAACCAGGCACATCTTGTTTATTCTACTATTTGTTCCCTGTGACACAACAACCCGAACCAGGAGCCATCAGCAGATGAGTTACAACTTGCCCATGAGGGATCACTAATGCCACCTCTGTCTCTAGCCACATCTCTTATGAGAGTTGAATGTCTCCTACCTTGGAGAAACGAGGGACACAGGAAGTCAGTGTCACCACTTCCTGCTCCCGGTTTTTCTCTACCTCATCCATTAAATAAAATCCCTTCCCCTGTTTTGAGCTGTCCATGTGAAGACTGCTCAGTATAGTCGGATCATGAGTCTGGGGGACTGGAAAGCATGTTGGATGAACGGTCTCCCCCTGCCCTGATTTCTCTGCTAGACCAGAGCATTTTCGAAGATAGCTGTTATCACTGGTACTTCGCAAATGAGGAGACTGAAAGTTTAAGTAACCTGCCCCATGCCACAGAGTCAATGAATGACCAAGTCACGTGTACCCAGGTCTGTCTGACCCCAGAGTTCTATGAAGATCTCCAATGAGCTGTCAACGATCCTGGTGAGTGCAACTTGCCATCCATGCAGGCAAAAATGAACCCCAGGAACAAGACTGGCTTCTGGCAAGATTCAGCCCTTAGAGAAAGTTGTTTCAGGATCCCCCTTCTCCCCTTCTGCACCCTTGGCCCTTCTTAGGGTCCCTTCTTCCTCCCGTGTTCTTCTTCCTTCCTGCTCCTGTAGTCTCAGGAGCCTTCCGACTCTAAAAGTCATCAAAGAGAGACCTCTAAAAAATTCTCCCTCAAGTGTTAATACTAAAAAATCAGAGTGCTTATATGTTTGGAAGAGGCATGAAGGGAGAAGATAATGAGTCTCTGATGAATTCTGCAGGGAATGGAAAAGAGATGTGGGCTAAGGGTAATGGGTAGCTCTCCAATACATCAGACATAGGCAACTGCCTACACACAAAATTAGCAAGGAATAAATGAAAATGATTTTTTTCATAATAGTTTAAAATAGCCTGCATGAAGGTGGTAGGAAGGAGAGGACATTGTTGCTCTGATTTTAGAGATAAGAAATCAAAACCCAGAGAAGCCACTTTGAGACCCAGATCAAGCCCAGATGGGCAGAACTGAACACAGTCTGAATTCTTATGCTTCCTTCCAGTTGGCTGGCTCAGGCTTTCTTTCTCCTGACTCTGAACTCACGCTACCCCGCCTGTTAGCCTCCCGCTAAGTTATCTTTTGAAGGTAGCAGTGTGCTTGGGAAGCAGAGGTGGTAGAGGGAAATATGTTTCTGTTTTTAAAGAATAATTCATACAGGACCCTTCTCTCAAATAGCTCAAGGCACTTCTGTGAGAAGCACTGCGGGAAGAGAACAGAGTGACCAGATCCCTCGGAGCATCAATAATGCACAGCAGCTTCTTTTAACTAGGGGTTGTCAATTTGACTTCCCCTAGATCAGCAGAGGATCAAAAGTCACCAGTGGTTAATAGACCTTATTCGAGTGGAGGATGCAATTTCAGCCCAGTCCCTGCCAATGGCCAGCCACATCAAACAGCCACCTTGATGTCTTGGTGTTCTTTCACCTGCTCTTTGATCAGCCGCCGCTCTACCTGCACAGCATCCCGCAGGGGCCACAGAACTAACTGGAACATTCTTACCTTGGAACCTAAGTGGCTCCAGGGCCAATCATTCATGTTCATGCTCAGAGGCACCAGCTTTGGGAAGCCCAGCTCTAACCCATATGGCAAGACAGCTATTCCAAATACTAAGACACACCACACATCCATCCTAGGCGCCCATTCATTTGGCCAACATGTATTGATCACCGAGCACCTAAATTACATCTATGTTCTCCTCCCTTCTTTCCTCCCCACCAAATCCTCCCCTTCCTTCACATCCACTCAAGTGTTCCTTCTTTGTTAAAGCCTCTCTATACAGATCTTCCACAGTGACCTTTCCTGTCTTTTCACCCCTCCCACTCATTATAATCGGGCCTCGGTTTGACCCTTAATTGTTCTCTGGGGGTTTTCCCACTATTCGTCCTGGTTTCCCACTGAGAAGAACCACATGGCATCTAGTGCACTCTGTCTAGCACAGGACTGAGCACTGAAAGCAAAGTGCATTTGTTTCTTGAGGGAGAAGGAAGCAGTGCTTATTGGCAGCTTTGGGGAAGAGGGGAAGGGCTTCATATTCTCTTTTGAATTATAATTGAAAATTAATTGTGAGCTCCACAAGAGTAGGGCTTTGTGCCCAGGCCTAAACTAGTACCTGAAAGGTAGGCGATGACCAGTACTGTGGAAAGAATGAGTCAGTTTATCAGCCTGCTCATGGGGGTTTCCTTAACACTATCCAGAAATGTAAAGACTTGGGGTGAATGGGGAGCAATGAAGAGGTAAGAAGCCCACTGGCTTCCCCCAGCTGCTTTCCCGAGCACATTTTCCATGTTTCTAGTTCAAAGAAAACCAGTGGCGAGTGAAGATTGGCACTCCCAGGCCCATCTATCTTAAGTAGCAACGACAGCAGATGAAATTTTTGCAAAATAAACAAATAGATCCCCAGGCATTAAAAAATAATCACTGAAAACATGTTTTGATGAATTGTTCTCCTTGAGTCACACAACACATCACCATAGATCCCTGCTACAGCTCCAGACGCACAGGCAGCCCTCTGTGGATGTTTGCGGTTCGAAGCTAACTTGGTTCCAAGAAACAAAAGGATTCAGGATCCTGGATCTCGGTCTGTGCTTCCGCCTCAGCGTGTCTTAAATTAGAGCAGTAATTCTTGGTTCAGATGAAGAAATGTGCTTGTATTTTATTCTTTCAGGAAGCATCTCTTGAGACGTATTTTTTAGTAATTAGTAAGGCAAGTAAGAGAGGGTCCCCAACTCCCCACGTCCCACTCCATTATCAACAAAGCGGGTTGTTCTCTAAAAGCATGAAGTGCAGCTTTGTTTCTCTGCCAAATAAATGTTAAATATCAGCTATCAACTCTAGAGAGAGCACAAAAGATAAAGGCAGAACATGTCAGCTTCCCCAGAACAACCATATCCGAGGAGGTAAGGCCCAGGAATGTGCGGTTGAAAAGTGCGGTCAATCAGGATATTCTGACTCTCGTTCAGATCCAACACAGAAGGGGGGTGTGGGTCTACACTGCTGGGCCAGGCGAAAACTGCTCTCTGCTCTTTGCCCTGAGCTACAGAAGGAATAGAAGAGAGAAGACGGGGTTTTGTCTTCATCACTCCAACATTCCAAAGTGAAGTCTCCTGTGTCTGGCTGGGACTCTTGGATATTTTGTACTCAGCGAGAAACAAAACAAAGGAATATAAAGAAGAAAGGTGAACAAAAGTGCCAACACCTTCCCACCCCAACAAAACAAGATACCTGAGTCTTCTGAGTCCAGGGTCTCTAACCAATACCTGGCTTCAACGCAAATGAGACTGGCAATATATTGCTGGTCAGTTCAGGTAGTTTAACATTACCATTTAAGCCAAGGATTTAAAATAGGAGCCAGAGGGGTCCCTGGGTGGCTCAGTTGGTTAGGTGTCTGACTCTTGATTTCCACTCAGGTCTTGATCTCAGGGTCATGAGTTCAAGCCCAGGGTTGGGTGAGGAGTCTACTTTAAAAAGAAAAAAAAGAAGAAGAAGAAAATTTAAAAACCCTCTGATATAGACATTTCAGAGTTAAAGGATATAAAAACTTGGCACCCGTATGGTTTCAATGCACTATACATTTTTTAGCATTATGGAGGGATGTTCTTTAAATACATCCAAGAGAGTTTACCCTGGGGTAGCTGGCCTTGGGATCCTTTTCCACCTACACAGATAGGCCTTTGACCTAAGAGGATGCCATCTAATAAAGAGTACAAGGTAGATTAGTATTATTGGTCTTTAAAATCCATCCTGAATTTTAGTAAAATGGTGAAGGCAGGTAAGAGCTTGGTATAGGAACCTGAGACATCTTTCTGGAAATCTCTATTTTAGAAGCCCCAAGGGGATGCAAGTTCCTGAAAGATCAAACCCGAGAAGCAGAGGCTCGCTGGCCGGGGTAGGCGCCGAGGCTAAGGATAACGCGGTCCAAAGGGCTCGCAGAGCTTTGGGGGCCTCCGAAGTGCCCCGCCCGGACCACCGTGGGGCGCCTGATGCGCCCTGCCCTCCCCCGGGGTTCGGGGCGGGGTGGCGGGGGGAACGACAGGGCGCTGGGCCTCGGGCCACGAGCACTCACCGCAGGTTCCGCACCACCATGTCCCACCAGGATGCCACACAGTCCTGCGCGTCCATCTCCATCCCGCGCAGTGTGGCGAACAGCCACCGGGGAGCCGCGGCCGGGAGACCGAGCCGCCCCCGCGGACGCCCGGCCCGCCCTCCTCCCCCGCGCGGGGCCCTGCGGGCGGCGGGCTGCACCCGGGCTTCGGCGCCCCGCCACCAGCCCCCCACATCTGTGCGGGAGGAGCCAGTTTCCCACGCTTGTGGCTAGCTGCGCACGATTTTCCTTTCTACTTGATTCTATACCTGTGTGTTTGTGTGTGCGCGCCCCGCGTGATGAACTGAAATAGATTTCTCACTGTGCTAGAAATAAAACAGAAGTCTGGTATGACAGCCTCAGAAGATCTGCATGAGGAATATAAGCTTTCCTCTACTTTGACCGTCTTTTTTTTTCTTTGTCCTTTCTATTTTTCCCTTTTTCTGAAGCTTATCCATCTCCAGCACCCACCCTCCCTCCCCCTCTCTCTCTTTCTGCCCCCGCCCCCCGCCGTTGAGTAATGGTTTATCCGTCCACAGGGTTATGAACTACACAATTAACACCAAAATTAACACCTTTTTGGCATTTGGTTTATTTAGCAACATCTAACAGAAACCCCCCTTGTATCAAGAAGCTCACACCTTGAAAGGTTTGGCCTGGATACAGGCTTACATAATGCATCCTCACCCAGGGGAGCCACACAGCAGAGTATGAGGGCAGAGGCGGAAGGAAGGAATGAGGTCTCCGTCAGATACAATTTGATGCCAGCATCCAGACTTTATCTTGGAGGCAAGTGCAACCTCTCCAAGAGGGAATAATGTGGTTTTTTGTGGTGCGAGTGCTCTGGATCAATGGGGAGGAGGGAGGACAGCCAAGCCACAGAAAGTGCCTAGGGACCCACCTGCTTGGGGCTGGTAGGCCAGTCTGGAGAAGAGCACCCACACCTTTCAAGGAAGGGCAGTTCTCTTCAAGGACCAGGCCATTTCCCAAAACTAGTCAGACAAGGGTGAATCTCATTCACTGCCTCTTGTAATCATTCTGGGGATGTCAATTTTCTGATTCATATCAAGATAGAAGAGGAATCACATCTGAAGGACACAAGGGAACTGAGCCTGCCTGATGAGCCAGCAGCAGGTGGGTTTTCTCAGGGCCACACCCTGCATGATGAGGAAGGTTAAGGTACTCAAGCTGATACAAGATTCCACCCAGGAGGTGTTCACAAGATGGGTCTGGAATCCCATAGAACTTGTTTAGGGAAGCTCCGGAAGAGACCCTGGGCCATGCCCTGTGGAGATGAAGTGATCGGAGCTGGGGAGCAGTGGGGGAGGACTAAGCAGCAGCTGCATTTGGTCCCAGATTCTATCCCCACTTGTTTATTCAGGTGGGTAGAATCAAACATTCAAACGAAATGTTTGAAATGCTCAGCAAAATCTCTGAAGTTGGAAATCACGATGCCCCCCCCCTTTTTTTTTAAAGACTCTATATTCGGGCACCTGGGTGGCTCAGTTGGTTAAGCGTCTGCCTTCAGCTCAGGTCATGATCTCAGGGTCCTGGGATGAGCCCCGAATCAGGCTCCCTGCTCAGTGGGGAGTCTGTTTCTCCCTCTCCTTCTGCCTCTCCCACTGCTTGTGCTCTCTCTCAAATGAATAAATAAAATCTTAAAAAATAATAATAATAAAATAAAAGACTATAAATTAGGAACTCTCTGAGAAAGCTTTCCCCAACATTAATAGCCCTTTTTCAAATAGCACATCCTAGAAATCAGAGAGCAGTCTCTGATTTGATTTGGCAGAATCTAGAACACAAACGATTCATTCATTTACTCAGCATCTATTTACTGAGCAACTTTTAAGGTGCCAACTACCATGTTGGGTACAAAGCAGGATCCCAGGGTCCTGGGATCCAGCCCCGCATCGGGCTCCCTGCTCAGAGGGGAGTCTGCTTCTCCCTCTCCCACTCCCCCTGCCTGTGTTCCCTCTCTTGCTGCCTCTCTCTCTGTCAAATAAATAAATAAAATCTTTAAAAAAAAAAAAAAAAGAAATTCATCTCTTCTCCTCCTTCCCCCAAACCTGCCCTGTCTTGAAGAACAGCTCATCACACACCAGGTTTCCCAAGCCACAAATTTGGGATTCACCCTGGATTCTTCTGCTTCCCTTAAGCGTAGAATTCCCTCTAGATAGAATGAAGATTATTCCTTGTTATAATATTCATTCATTTAACAAATACTGAGCTCATTTTAGATAGTATCTGGCTTGGGAAGCTTACACTTTAATCGCAAAGACAGGACCCACACCAAAGAAAAGCTGAATAACAACCTGGAGCTCTATCACTAGGTAATAAATAAATATGCATCACAGATAATATTGTGGGGCAGGCTCAGGGAGCAACATCTTTGTGGGCTGAAGAGGTCAGGCAAGGAGTCTGGAAATGCTGTTCTGTTGCTTGGAAACAGCTTTCGTAATGGGAGGTAATTTAAAATGGCCATCCAAAAGGCCTCGGAGGATGTTAAAACTGGAAGAAATATAAACAGTCATTTGCCAATACTCTCATTTTACACAGAGGAAACTGAGACACCCCCCAGAGACCAAATGATAGATGTTAAGCTGCATTCATTCAGTATTTATTGAGTGCCCACTGCATGCAGAGGTGCAGGCCAGGCTGCTACAGTCATGCAAGACAGCAGGCTAGGGGAGAGTGATTCTCAAAGGACACATGGTATCTGGCGAGAAACTAAGCTGTGTCAAAGCAGGGACAGCAGCGTGGTGGGACCCACTGGTGGTTGTAAACTGGGTTACAAGTCCTTCCACTTACCCTGGAAAATACAAGAATTAAAATAGTTAATCACAGGTTGGTTATTTCTGCTTGGTTGAGTCATCAGGGTGGAAGAATCCACCACCACCCACAGTGCCCGGTCAACCCATCAGCCCGGTAGGAGATTCTGAAGCAATCTCTACAGTGTCCACTCAAGGGAAGGCGACGCGGCCTGAATTTTTGTGAAGTACAAACACCACGGCTTGGCATTCGGACAACACAGACAGCGTTGGGCGAGAGTCTCACCAGCAGGGATTTTTTTTTTTTTTTTAACTTCTACTTGAGTTATTTTTAAAATGTCCCTCTAACAGATTCAGAGGAGGGCACTTCCATAACCACAGCCCAACCTTAGGGAAACAATGACATGGGGTTTTCGCTCCCAAGGAAGCCTAACAGGAAAAGCTAAACGATGAGGTGAAACTGTATTCATCTTCCTGAAAATGAAGGCACACTCCTGGAGAAATTGTGGAAGACAGGAAAAAATGTCACAGCTGTAGATAGGATAAACAGGAACTGGCTTTGCAACCCCAGGAGAGCAGAGATTTCCAATTCTGGGCTTTCTGGATGCCTGACAGGAGTTTGAAGTCATCTATTTCTCATTGTTTGTACAATCTCCAAAGTCGGTCCTGAAAGGAGCCTCATTTCCTTAGTTCCCCTGTTCATGCCCCGAGCGTCCGTGTGCTCCCAGCGCAGCTTGAAATTAGAGTACTTTTTCATCTTTGCCTTTAGTTTTTAAACCACCTGGAGAGACCCCACGAGACCCGATGGGCCTGCGCGCTGGACTGCCCTGTGGAGGGATGTCAGGTAGCCTAAGGCGGGGCTTCATTATCCTCGCCCGCCCGGCCTTCGCATGCACGGAACAACCTGTCCCTAGAGAGGACTTTTGAAATAATAATATGTAGTATGAGATGAGATCATAGATATGAAAGCTCTTCTTTGAAGTTAAAAAAATTTTTCAGCCTGCAAATGCATAGTATTGAGATTATTTATTAATGAATGTATGCAATACTGTCTTTGTCCGGCTCCTCGGTGTATTTGCATGCATTCATTTAAAAATACAATCATCAGCATTATGGCTTACAGACTAACGTAGAAGTTTAATGACTGATAAATACTAATACATACACAGATGTACAGAGGAGCCATAGGGCCCATCTCTTCTATTTCGTTACCAACCAAAAGGAATTAAAAATTGACATCACAGGAGACTCTCTCCCTTTCCCATTGTGTGAGAGACAAAGGAATGCTGGGGGTGGGGGGGGCGCGCGGGGCAGGGGATGCTCTTCACTCCTCTGCCTGCTAAGTGTCAAAAAGGATAGCAACTCCCAAAGGAGCCCTCCCAACCCAGCAGTCCACAAATTACTTAGCAAACAGCAGCCCCGGAGAGGTGAGTGTTGAATAGCACTGTGAGGTGACCTGCTAAGGCATTTTTAAACAGAGGGGCTATGGGGCATTTTAAACAGAGGGGCTATAGGGTTTAGCATACGATCCTGTAGTCTTACAATATACGAATCAGGAATCCTCACCGTGTCAAGTTGGGAACAGCATGGGGATCCCCAGCACCTAGCGTAACGCCTGGCACAAAGCAGGTGCTCGGTAAGTCTTTTGCAAGATGAATCAATAACTGGAAAACTTGAATCTGTTCAGCAGCCAGTCCAGCACCACAAAATCCCAACGTCCCCATCACCATGCATTTTCTAGAGGCCCCTCTGGCATTCTCTGATTCACACCTGTAAAATTCTGAACTGCACAATGATGGGAAAATAGAACCCAAGACAGGCAAAAGTGCTAGAAGGCCTAGTGGCCTATTGTGGGTGCACTGCCTTATTCTTACTTTCCCCACCCAGCGCCACGTTGCAAGCTTAGTACGGCCGCCGTGCCCTCCATAAAGGTGGGGTCCCGCTCCACTCTGCCTTTGACCCATCTGAGGATTTGACACGCACCCCTTCTCCTGTGCAACCCCACTCAACAAGCATTTTTACAAATCCGACCGCACATGTTATGCCATGCCAGGCATTGTGGAGAAGAGCAGAAATTATACGGTATGGCTCCTGATCTCAAGAGCTAAGATGATGGTTAGGGAAACTCTGCATTATTCTTTATTTATTCTAAAAGCGTTTATTGAGCATATGCACTAAGTACTGTTCTGAGTGCTGGGGATTCAATGTTAACCAAAGCAAAGACCTTCCCTGCTCTAATGGTGCTGACATTCTAGAGGGCGCAGACAAATACTCATCATACAAATAAGCACATAATACAAATTCAGCTAAGTGCTATTAAAATGAAATCAGGTCATGGAGAGACTATTTTATCTGAGATCTTAATAACAAGACTTGAGAACAGAGTTCCAGCCAGAGAGAAGAACAAGTTCAACATCACCCAGGTGGGCATACAAACTTGATATGTTCGGTAATACAGGCTATCCGTTCCATGCCCTTCACAGCTTCCCTTTGGGAGCAGACATGGGTTTGGGTGTAAGAGAATTTACCTTCGGGAAGCTACAGCATCCTATGTGGGCACGAAATTTGACTAGATCTGTTTGATTACTTTGGAGGAGGTAAAGCCCACGTCTTCTCCCTCAGAGCTATTTTTGGATTGAGCAGCGAAAAATCGGTAAGACCCACAGACAAGCACTCGGGAACCACAGAAGGTTGCAGGTGGCAGGTGACTTTGGGAAGTGAGTGACACTAGGGCTGCCCCTGCAGTATAGAAAGAATCTGCGATGAGTGTTAGGATCAAGTGGCCATCTCCTCCAGGCAGGTGATGTTTCTGCGAGAGGGAGCAATCCGTTGATCTATTCAGGATGGAAGGCATTTTCCAAATTCCATCCAGGACAACATGATATTCTGTGTGGCTCCCAGTTTCTATGAAGCAAGAAGCAACTGGAATAGACTACACGGATGGGCAAGAAACAGGAAGAATTGGTGTTTAGTACAAACCCACAGAGGCAGACTGGTTCACATCAAGATGGGGATCCTGTCGGCTCACTAAAGACAAAGGTAGCAGGTGAGCACAAGGAGGTTGTACTTTGGTGTGTATTTGTTTGAGCCATTTTTCAGAAATTATCTCACATCAGAGACTTTTTGTGCAAACTTTCGATCATCCTGAATATAGGATTTTTATTGAACGGTCTAAAATATAATGTAATGCACATCAGTGAATAAGTCATGTGGTTTCTCTGCAAGGGGGTAGCATTAGTAAGACTTACATTGATAGTATAATCATAACCCCTCCCTCTAAGGATTAAATTTTAAATGTATCCACCCAGCAAAGGCAGGATGAATTGAAAAAAATAAAAAAGGTGATATAATGATGTCTTCTAAAACGAAAGACTTATTAAAATCTCACCTGGGTCATACAGCTCTCACTAACAAGCTTAAGCATTGCTTTAATTCTGTGTGATTTATTGTCATGGGAGTTAATGGACTGGTGGGGCAGGGGGGATCCACCATTTATTTGTGAAGCAGAAAACTGTGTTGTGATTTTCAGATCAGACACAGGGAGGCAGCAGTGAGCCAATGAGGAGCATAAACAATGGTAACCGCTTGGAGGCCGAAAGTTAGCCCGCTAGCTGTTTAAAATCATTTATAACCCGGGGCTCTTGGGTAGCTAAGTCATTGGGCGTCTGCCTTCGGCTGCGGTCGTGATCCCAATATCCTGGGATCGAGCCCCGCATCGGGCTCCCTGCTCGCTCGGCAGCAGAGCCTGCTTCTCCCTCTCTGTCAAATAAACAAGATCTTAAAAAATAAGTAAAAAATAAAATAAAATCATTTATAACCCCAACAGAAACTATTTAAAAGACTTTAAAATTAAACATTAGAAGAATTTTCTGTTCTAGCATGTTTTCTGCTCCCCGTTAGTGCTTACTTTCCTTACTTCCCGAATGTTTTTGCTTTTCCTACTGACGGTTTTCTTTTTCTTACGAATTTTTATTTTGGCACACCCAACGTGGGGCTCGAACTCACAACCTGAGACCAAAAGTTGCCTGCTGTACTTCTGAGCGAGCCAGCCAGGCGCTGCGATCCTTTTCTTTTCTAACCCACGTGGGAGTTGGAGCATTTTAAAGCTGACAACGGTCGCTCTGACTAGTCCAAGGTGAAGCCCGGGAGCGGGTCAAGGTGTTCCCACCCCACAGAAAGCCAGCCAGCTCCTCCTTGGCGGGCACGAGGTGACCAGGACCGCCTCTGGGGGGGGACCC